GTATTTCACCTTTCGAAGGCCTCCACCAAGTTTGCTATGTGCTGCATATGCTTGTTAATTTGGGTTTATGCAATAATTTTTTTATTGGTTCGCTTTATTGTGGGCTTGGTAATGTGTTGATTTTCTTTGGGTCTTTCGGTAAAGTCACATCGATCGGTTCAAAGAAAATAACAAAAAACTACGTTTCGATCGCAACACAAGCGTTCGTCATCAGGAATAAAAGTTAGCTTCTAAAGGTAAACTGTTTAGAAAGGGTTGAAATGGGCGTAGCCCAAATGTCAGCAGCCAATGTTAATGTGAGTGGTGGGCAGCAACCACGACGGTGGTGGGTTTTCCCACCAATCAAAGGGCTGCCCGGTAAAATTAACACGATAAGTAAGATCGTTCAGCAGCTTCAATCGAAACGTAGATTTTTTGTTATTTTCTTTGAACATATCTACGTAACTTTACCGAAAGACCCAAAGAATATGGATTCCTGCAGTCACGAAAGCTTTAAGTCAAGATTTAACGTGTTGATTGTTGTGTGCTGACCCGGGATGCGTGCGAGCTTGCGTGGCAGACCACAAACCCCGGGTCGGGCATTGGGGAAACCCCATTCAGGAAATGTGGAGAGTGGGGGAGAGTTGCAGCCTCCTGCCTCAATAAACCGGTCGCCTCCTCTATGAACTGGTCCTAGAGAGGACAAGACTGCGATGGAGGAAGGATATACTCGCCCACGGTCTCTGTCATATAACAGTTTGACCGCGGAGAAACATGTATTAGGAATCCGGGATATCTGATATGGCGTGGTAATACCAAGAGCCATCGCCTTAGTCTGGGACCGCGTGCAGACACGGTTCTCATTCAAATGGAGATGGCAGTCGACTTATCCCGCTCACGTCCAGCCCGTATCAATTAGCTGTGTTTTTTTTATGTTAGAAGTAGTTTACTCTTTTATAGTGCGGTGTGACTGCGTACTTATATATTCTGTCTAACGTTTTGTTTATATATTTGAATATATATGGGTCCAGGTAACGGGCCCCCCTCAGCTCGTCTAACTATATTGTGATTGTTTGCAGTAAATGTATGGTAGTTTTCGGTACTTTGCTGCAATTAGGACCATAATTTATTACTTGTCAATTTCAAACCTGGAGTCAAAAGTGCTTGTCTTTAACACGTACGTTTTCGCAGCCAACATGATATTTGATTTTGGCTTAAGTCAATGATTTAGCCAAATTTGTTCAACGTGCCAGTGAGCTGAAATAAGAATTGGCGTCACTAGATCTCCTTTGTCAGTACCAAAATATAATAGGGTTTACTCATTTTTTCTGGCAACAAAACTGAAACCTTTTAACGAGGATTCATGTCTGCATTAACCAGAATACTTGCAGTCAAAATGCAAACAAAAAACACACTATAATATATGCATTGTCCTTGAAACTGATTGGTCCACACCAAGGACGGCTTTTTAAATCCTTTATATTAAGTTCACTTGCTTGCTTAGGACCGTGCAAATCTTTCGGTCCGTTTTTTAACTCACTTCCCGTGATCCAATCGAGCTGACATTTTCCACACAGACTCGTTGTGCGGGACAATTAATGTTCGTGAAATTTTGTTTCCAAAATTTTACACTTTTTAGGACAAAAATATTATATTTAATTACCAATTGCTTAATGCTGCCATGCAATCATCTGACCCATAGGTGGCAGCCATCTCAAGCCAGAGGACGAGAGGACTCTAGCCGCCACACATATAAAGGATTTATAGTGAAAAACGTTGTTTTTAGGGGTTATACTTGTTTTTGATCCTTGACCCAATTGGTGCTCGACCAGAGGACGCCAAAAGGCGTACAGCTCAGACAATGCACTATCAAAGTAATGAGGGCTCGGGGTGAGCATCTACATCATTAGACCTCCTTTGCCAGTACCAAAATATAATAATAGGGTGTGGTACTGGCAAAGGGGGTCTAATGATGTAGATCAGGGGTCTCAAACTCAAATTACCTGGGGGCCGCTGGAGGCAGTATCTGGGTGAGGCTGGGCCGCATCAGGTATTCCACAAAAAAAAACTTTGCTAAAAAAATCCAAACTTCTCAAATGGCATTACTAACAGTTATTTAACTTCAATTGGTTCTTCTGAACATGAATAGAATATTGAAGAACATGAACAGTTCTTCTGAACATGGCTTCTCTTGCCTACTTCTTGCTGCCAGAGACCTGGCAGCGCTTCCTCTCACATAGCTGAGCCACATTTGGCTTGAGGGAGGAAGCAGTTGAGACCCTCAGTATGGCTTGAAGATGATCATCAGTAAGTCTGGACCTGTACTTGGACTTATTGAAGTTCAAGGTGGAGAAGAGCTTTTCACACAAATATGTGCTCCCAAAAAGGCACATGGTCCGCTTGAACATTCGGGAAAGCTCAGGGAAGCTGGGGTTCAATTCTCGCAAAAATTGCCCAAGCTTGTCTTCTTCTCCACTCACCTCCCTGAACTTGGCTTTGAGGTCAGAGTTGCACTGCAGGTCAATGCGCTCCATTTGAAGCACAGGAGGGGCATCTTGCACATCAAAGAAGGGATCCGCAAAAATTTGAAAAGTGGCTCTGTGCGTCTTGAAGTCTGCAAATCTGTGATCAAATTCCTCCTGTAGCCTCAAAATGGCATCAACATACTTCTCACCACTGAATGGTGTGCCTGCATTCAGGAGTGCCTTGCATGCTGGGAAATGGCAAAGGTTTGTCTGAGAGAGCTGGGCTTTCCATAACACAAGTTTTGTGGAGAATGCTCTCACGTTGTCATAGGCAGCACTGACGAGCTGCCTCTGGCCTTGTAACTTCTTCTTCAGTACATTCAGCTCATGCGTGATGTCAACAAGAAATACTAAGTCCATGAGCCATTTGGGATCACATAGCACAGGAACAGCCGCCCCATCTTTCTCCATGAAGGCTTTCACTTCTGCTCTCAACTCAAAAAATCTCTTTAAGACGTTTCCCCTGCTGAGCCAACGTACCTCGGTGAAGTAGAGCACATCCTCATATTCTGACTCCATTTCCTCTAAAAAAGTACGGAACATCCGGTGCTTTAAGCCCCTGGATCTGATTTTGGTTGATGCATTTCACAACAACAGACATCACATTGTCAAAGTTCAGGCATTTGCTGCAAAGGGCCTGCTGATGGATGATGCAGTGCAGAGCAATGGCCTCCTCCACACCCTCCTCTTCTAGTTTTCGTTGATCAAGTGCCACCAGTCCATTTTTCCTCCCTGTCATTGATGGCGCTCCGTCAGTAGTTATTCCAACAAACTTCTTCCATGGCAAACCGGTATTCACAATGGCATCACACAGCTGGCAAAATATCTCCTGAGCGGTGGTGTGGCCATGCATTGGAATTACCGTGAGCAACTCCTCCATCACTTCAAAATTGTCATCAACACCACGGACATATATTGTGAGCTGGGCAGTGTCAGTGATGTCTGAACTCTCGTCAAGAGCGACTGAGTATGCATTGAAAAATTTGGCTTTCTCACGCAGTTGATCATAAATGTCACTTGACAGGTCAGAAATGCGCTCTGCCACGGTGTTAGCAGAAAGGCTGATGTTGCTAAACTGACCTTTCTTTTCCGGACAGACTATACTTGCAGCCTGTAAGATGCACTTTTTGATAAACTCGCCTTCTGTGAATGGCTTTCCTGCCTTAGCAATCATCTCACTAACCACGTAGCTTACTTCGACTGCTGCATTATTCTCTTTGGTTGCTTTCTTGAAGAGATTTTGTTGCCTCAGTAGACATGTTTTAAGATGGCAACCCGGTTGGCTCTCTCATCTCCCTGGTATTTTGCATACTCCTCAGCATGTCTAGTTGAGTAATGACGTTTGAGGTTGTATTCCTTGTGCACCGCAACTTTTTCTGAACAAATAAGACACGTCGGGGTGCTCATGTGCTCAACAAAGAAATATTGCATCTCCCACTTTTCCTGAAATTGTCTGTGCTCGTCACCAACCTTTCTCTTCACTGCAGGCTTTGAAAAAGACATGATTGGGGCTGTGTGACAAGATATATATTCATTCCACTTGCTGTCGCTCACGCAATAAAGTTTCAGTCAAGTGTTTAGCCAACCAGCGACGCACGGAGATGTAATTTCCGCAAATGCACGTCATTTCCGCTTTTTCCGGTAACAACAGGTGCGTAGATTATGGGGGGGGGGGGGGTAATGCGTTCCCATCAGATTTCGTCCCCACACCCCAGTCACAGGCAGACACAGCTGTAGCGGCTGCTACTATACACGCTTCTCTGTTCAAAGCACGGGGATCTGAGCCGGGATGAGCTGTGGATCTGCGCTTTGATGCGCTCCGGTGCGGGAGCCCCTGTTGACATCTGTGGATGAATTACTAATTTGTGGCCACGCAATAACAAGATAATCTAATAAGTTATATATAAAGCTTTCTTAACAACAGCATCACAATTTCATAAAATAATAACAAATGCAGACTTCTAAGATGAACCAAAATAATTATGCACATCGTCATGTACAGTCTGTGGCTCGGTGCGTAAATGTCACCACCAGAGGATGAGGGAATTTAAATAATAAAAATTCATCCACACATATCAGGTGTAAATAATAATGTAAAACAGCCCAGACTGTAAAATGTAGATATTAGCTCAATGACGTGTTATAAACTGCTGCGGTTTATAATCCGTCTGCGTAAAGAAGCTCCCAAAACCTCACAGCGCAGCGTGTGCGTAAAGGAGCCGTGGTGTCCCTTGAATTTGCCTTCAATTTAACAAATTGTGTATGTGTGTGTGCTCCGTTCGTTTTCTCCGCTGGACACAAAAGTCGCCTTTGCTCAAGATGCCACTTTATTAATCACTGACACAAAGACTGATACCGTCACTGCAGTATAGCCTAAATAAGTCCCACTGCATTGTAAGTGGCATGTGTGTGTTGTTTTAAGCGTCGTTTTATGTGCGTTCCGGGACCTGTGCTTGTCGTACCTGCGCTGTCATATGTACTTAGCATTCCGGCACCTTGTGATTTGCAAATGAAGCACTGGATACATCATGACCTGCGCGAAAGAGGGCGGAAAACTATGAATTTTACCCTCCTGGTCTCCGCACATCCAAAGCCACTTTTTTCCCTCCCGGCTCTCTCTCTCACTCACTCTCACACGTACACACACACACACACGACCCCGCCCCCCATGTCACTCACATGCATGCTGCATTCACTGGACAGGCACACAGTAGGAAACCAGAGCATCATAACATTGTCCCACACAGCAGCTAACAGCGGGGTTGCTACAATATAAAACTCGCGGGCCGCACTAACATTAAACTTTCATATTAAGGTGGGGGCCACAAAATATCGTCCCGAGGGCCGCAATTGGCCCGCGGGCCGCGAGTTTGAGACCCCTGATGTAGATGCTCACCCCGAGCCCTCGTTACTTTAATAGTGCATTGTCTTTGAGCTGTACGCCTTTTGGCGTCCTCTGGTCGAGCACCAATTTGGGTCGAGGCTGAAAAGAAAGCCGTCCCTTGGTGTGAACCAATCAGTTTCAAGGACAATGCATATATTATCAGTGTTTTTTTTGCATTTTGACTGCAAGTATCGTGGTTAATGCAGACATGAATCCTAGCAAAAAGGTTTCAGTTTTGTTGCCAGAAAAAAGGGGAAAACCCCTATTATAATAATGGGCGTGTTAATCTCTCATGCATGCCATAATTTAATTTGTTTTCCCGTAAGGTGGTGGCGGGTCTTACTGCTGAAATTTTACCAGATCCTTGTGGCCTAACCGCAACAATTATGAAGCACTGTAACTAGTAGTTACTCGAGGTCAGTATTGTGGTGAAATAAACTCCTGGCACACATATCCCAGCTCCTGCTACAGGCAATGGGCATTTTTATGCACAAAACACACCAAAAAGATTGAGTGTGGACTTGCCGTAAGTTTATTGTGCAGTTGTTTTGGATGTAAAGAAAAAGAGTTCTGGCGTGGGATTTCAATAAGATGTATTGTGGCTGACAGGGTGTGCAGGACTAAAATGAGTTGTTTTCAACTGCAACATTGAAAGAGGCGACAACTATCTTGGCATTTCTGGACATAGGAGTCAATATTTTCTCTCCCAAAGTAAATGGGCAAGTGGCGTGATTTAAAAATGCTAGATTCATACACTTAATTATATTGGTCTTGAGATTTGCTTACATGCAACGTATTATTGAACTTACGAAGTATCAAAAGACAACATAAACAAGTCAAACTACAGTTAATGGCAGTGGAGTTAATGACATGCGATGCTATGGCTAATTGGCTGGTTATGGTACAGTACGGAGACAAATTATGTTAGCAGTAGTATTAATACCAGAAATGCCAGGGTTTATAAATATTAACAATACATTTTACATTCGAACAAACCATACTCCACAAGTGTCACTGTGAATATTAATAGTTACATAAATACACAGGCAAGGGAAAGCCATTCACTCTGGCTTTGATGATGCCTAAAAATATATATAATCAAAGAGGGTGTGTTTGTGTAGCAGCAAAATACATTTACTTATAGCAGAAATATAAACTATATAACATAAGTTACCTATATGCCAGCCGTTCAATTTCTGGATACACGACCTCAGAATTGGCAAAGATTGAGTATCCTGGACATTTTCATTCTCAAAATATTTCCCAATCACAAGATTTTCTATTTTACCTCACAATAAATTCATTAAACTTCTTTGACTGGACCCAAACAAACCATTCAGAAAATGGTAGGACATGTTTAAAATGTACATATTGTTTTTGAATGCCTGGCAGCACTCACTGCATTAATAACTACGGTAGAGCTCTCCAAACGGGTTTGGCGTCCAGAGAACTGGTTCTCTGGAAGGCCAACCCAACCCCCAGGTGTACTTATAAAAGAAGGTGGGGTTTGACCTTCTGTACTTTTTCCTGCACTCCCATCCATAATTATTATTAATTATTTGGGTTAGATTGTGTAGGTATAATGTCAATTTTCCAGAGCTGAGCTGTTAAAAGCTGATGATGTTGGATGTAATCTCCCGCAAAAACACACACAGTTGTCAACATTTTGATTGCTTTTCAACATTCCGGTTTGCTGAAAAAAACAAATCAATTGGCAATATTTGCCCACGTGACAACTTTATTTGATTGGCTCTGTCACGTGGGAAAGGATCTCATACTTCCTAAGCTAGAGGCACCTAACCTGGTGATGTTCTCAAGAGTGAGCGCCTAATAGTTTCAGGGCTTTCCCCTTTTGTCCCTGCCCTCCATCAGCATTTGCAGCAGGCGTGGGATACTCTGCATAATTTTTTTTTAATATATAATTTCACTCTCTGATGCGGCCAAGTTCTGTCCAGGATCGTACTGATCGACTGTCTTGGGAGGACCTCGAGCATCTTTACATCATGCTCTTTGCCACCTCGCAGAGCAGGATCTTTCTGTGCATCGCGAAACCCGGCACCATCCAACTCCAGGCTCGGCAGTTGAGGTTGTTGGGTTTGCCTCGCCTACAAACTATAGCCCATTAAGCAATATAGCTCTTTTATATTAGCTCTTTTTCAGAAGCGACCTGGCTAGCACAAATTATAGCTCAACGAAGTGGCTTATGTGGAAATTTATAGCAGCCCAATACTCTTAAGGGAATGTTTCTAAATGGAGGGAAAAGCGGAGGATCCGGAGAAAAATCCATATGACCATGGGGAGAACATCCAAACTCCAAATATACAGGCGTCAGGGTCGGGATCAAACACACGATCTCCTGCATACCAAGCGAGGTAGTTAACATCTCACCACCATAACCTTAGAAATGCCGCCCCTGCAGTGGTACCTGTTAGCACGATGGTGACTCGACATCTCTTGCCACTCACAACCGAACCGGCAGTCAGAGTTTGTAAAGGGACAGACGACTTTCTATGGTGGTGAGACGACTTTGGACGATCTGTATCCAGAACTGGCCTTGGAGACTAATGTTAGTTGCAGGGGTTGGAGAGCACACCTGGAAGGTTTGCCAGCCCCAGCAGCGATGGATATATACTTAACAGTTTAAACATACTGGAGCTAAGAGCAGTCCAGAATTCCCTGAGAGCATTTAGCTATGTAGTCAGAAGGAAGAAGGTGCTGGTCCGTTTGAACAATGTAATGTCGGTAGTCATTCGGAACCAACCATAGGCCTCTGTTCACTTCAGCAGGTTGATACAGGTCACTAGGAGATATTCTTCTGGTCCCTGGTACCAGCAGCACCGCATAACCCTGTCCATTGTACACCTCTGCGGTGTCCTGAACCGTGTGAAGGACCGACTCAGCAAAGGCTAGTTGGATATGGGCGAGTGGAGTCTGCATCCTGAGGCATTCAGACTGGTGTGTGCCCACTGGTGCACACCACCAGCAGACTCGTCTGCCTCGGCAGAGAACAATCTCCTCCCATCCATCCCACTGCACCCATTTCTGAGACGTGCAAGCCCTTGGTGGCAGATGCGGTCAGTATCTCCTGGAGCAAGGGGCTTGCCATTTGCTTTTGCTCTGCTGCCGTTAATTCCAAGGGTTTTGGCCAAGGTCAGGAGGGCCGCGCCTCCCCGGTGCTAGTCACCCCCAAATGGGACAGGTGCGTCGTGATTCTCCGACCTGCAGGCACTCAGACTGGGTCCCCCCCCCCCCCTATCAAGTTCCCCAAGTGGAGAAATCTGTCACAGTATGGGGAAATCGCTTCAGGAATCAACTATTTTTCTCTGACTGCCAGTGACGGAGGGTAGGATTCAGGAGACACGGGCCATCTACTGCGGTGCAAGAGTTGTTGCTCCAATTCAGTAGGCCATTATACCGAGGGGTTTCAGCATTTTATGGTTGGTGCACACACAACCTCGAAGACCCGGTAGTGTGCTTCATTCCGGTCATAGATAAATATCTCTTCAATGAGTTTCAATTTGGAGATACACTAGAGTTATTAATGTTGTGTGTGCTGCCAAGGCCTCCATAAAAAAAGTATTTATGAAGGCTTAACTCCAACATGTTTATAGTACAGTATTTTAGGATGTTTTTAAATTTAAAACATGTCGACTTGGGATAGCCTTCATCAAGCTGTAGACTGTTCATGGATGATAATGGTCATATCAAATTGTTGAGCAAAATTGTTGGCCTGACAGGTTTTGGAGAAGCTGCTTTGTACTTGATATTCAAGTACAGTAACTCCATGTCCTTCAATTGGACAGAAGCCCACGAAGTGGTTTGTGTCACATGGGAGACCTGGGGATCTAGTCAAGTAGGGTGCATTTTATATACATTATATTCGATAATAATATACAAGGGGCCTACTTTAGGGAATTACATCACATGGTCTTTAACAAATTTGAGTACATCTCAGAGAAATTGTTAGGTGCCAGGGAGATCCAAACTGACAATTCCATGCAAACATATCCACACAATGACCAGCAAGCTCTCCAGCCCTCCAAAGGCACTCTATGTTGTGCTGTAGCCTAGTAGTGGGAGTGACATTTAGATTCATCATGCACACAATGTGCACACTCGCACACCTTAAGTCTCACCCAAGCACTTGATATACTTCCTTCATACAAAAAAACATAGCATGTGCCAAATACAAATAATGCATGCTTCATTAATGCAATTCTAAAATTCAATTCTAAAAGCACTTGATTGTGCAAATTTGTAGAGTGGGAATTTACATCACAATTTGGTCCTGATTTGAATATAAAAAACACATTTCCCAGTTGGTGTGGGCACAACCATGTCCATATGACAACAATTCAAAATAAGTGTTGACATTTTATCCAGTATTGCTAAAAAATAAAATCAGCTTATAGGCATTTGTACCTCTGATTTGAAATAGTTTTTTACGTTTATAAATGGAGTTGTAGCATTATCACAAAATGGTGGGAACATCTACACAGTGATGCACACAAACAGGACAGGGCAAAGCAACAACCTCCGATTCACACTTTCAAATAATCACCAACCACCACATTAACTCGTGAAAATAATCTACAAATTCCTTGCACATAAGCTATGGCCTTCACGATTTATTTAAATGTGATATCTATGTCATTAGCCACAGACAATGCTGTCATTGTATGCTACCACACACGGACAGAAAATGTGCCGACCCAATTTCTTAACTGGGTGCTCTATAAACGGTACCGTCACGACGCGTTGCGGAGGCAGGCTAATTGCCATTTCCCAAAGAGGTTATACTGAAGCAGACTCCAGGAAGGGTGTTGTGTCCTCGGCTCTTCTTCACCCCACCGAGCCAGCCCAGAGGGAGCAGGCTCCGCGCTCGCCCCACCTGCTCCGCTCGCCCGCTCGTCTTACTCATGCCACTCGCCGCGTGGGACGGAGACGAGGAGGAGAGGGGGAACGTTGCGTTCGTCCTTCTTTCCAGCTGCGAGCACGACACCACAGCACAAGTGTGTACACACACAGCTATACGCACAGCTAGATCACGAGTTTAGTTATCATCCCCGAAGGTTGTTATGGAGGCGAGCAGTGGCGTCGTGATTATTCCAACACGTGCTATAACCACAACGAGACCCCAAGTTTGATTCCCGGCCAGGGTGAACATCGGGGTCGTGAGTGATATCTGAACTGATCATGGGTCTCACTTGACCAACCCACAGTTTCTACCTGGTGAATTATGGTCAAACAGACCCCATGACTGACATTGTGGGAGGCCTTCAATCAAATGTGATTGACATGGGACTGTAAATGTGTATGTATATATAATGCTTTGTTATGAATATTACCTATCCCAATGGGGCTGACTAAGCATTGGTATACTGTAGTACATTGTGCAAGCCAACGTGTATTCCTGTTTAAAAAAGGAATGAGTGATTGGCAGCGAAGCCAGTGGTGGAATTCTATATTATGTTGGCAGAGGCCAATCTTTTCATATAATACGGTCACCACAGTTAACTTACCACAACATAGTTGCATAGCATTATTTTGCCTATATCTAAGCAATGTAATGTTAATAATATAACTTCCAAACATTACTATAACACTATACCACCAAATACTGATGGCGTCCTATCTTATTGGAGGGAATGCCAAATTTCATATTTTCCTTACTTGTTGAACATTCACATACATGCTATGATGCACAAATAGTTGTAAACTTAAGTTGAGTGATCGTCCTCGTACAGATACAGCATATCTAGTCTACACCACTGAATACAAATGCGTATTTTACCCCATGATGCTCACAGAGCTCCCGGTTTAAACAAAATTAAATGTTATTTCAAGATAAATCAAACGTTCAGAAAAAATGCTACCCATGCTCACATGAGCATGAAGCTAATTTGCCTTTTTATCTAACCTCTTTCTTCAAAAGCAAATCTAGCCAATGCAAATTAATTCCACACCTCCGAAACATCAGAGAGCAAAGTAATGCCAGCACTGCCAGCCGTGATGCACAACATCGCACGTGCATGCGATGGGCCACGCGACAATCAGCACCAAATGGGACACACGAAAGTGCCCACCACTTTGCAGTCACGGAAATTGGCGAGTTTAACCCTTTCGCATTCCAAGATGTCTGCAAGTTCACTAAACAAATGTTTTTTTACCAGGTAAAGCCCACTGAGCTATATAGCTCTTTCTCAGAAGCGACTTAGCCACAAGTGATAGTTCAACGAAGTGGCTTATCTTGTGCAAATTTATAGCAGCCAAATACTCTACATGCATGTTTCTAAGTGTGGAGGAAAGAACCGGAGGACCCGGAGAAAAATCCACACGATACAAATATATAGGCGTTAGGGTTGGGATCGATCCCACGACCTCCTGCATAGCAGACGAGAGAGTTAACATCTCGCCACAGCGACGCCAAAGTTGCAGGGTGGGTGTCCTGTTCACGGCTGAATCTCGGAACGCGCAAACGGTTGGCGTAAATTTTTTTTAGAGAGGCATAGCGCTGTTGTTTTTAAAGACATTGTACTCACTGCAGAAAACTTTAGCGACACGACCGCACTCTATGATAGCTGGCGGCAAATTGAGCCATACGCTCTCCCGCATGACATTTTTGGAGCCTCGGTATGTTTTCCAACATAAAGACGTACGGATAAAGTTATTTTATTTTTTCTTCCGATTCCGTTTCGGTGACATATGACATACATATGTGTATGTCATATGTGACATATGACATACATATGTGTATGTCATATGTCATCGGAATGAAAAAGGGTTAAAAGTTTTAAAAGGGTTGAAAGTGTCTGCCATGAAGGGTGAAGAGAAGGGGGATTCCCCTCTCCCCCTCCGTACGTGTGGGTTTGGGGGAAGGACAGGCACTTGTGTATGCGTATAGTCCGGGTTTGCAACACCCATGTCATCAAAACCAATGTCGAATGTTCTACTGTTGATATTTGAACTCTGAAGGGCAGCACGATAGATCGATCGATAGATGGATTGCTACTGTGTAACAAATAACTGCTACGTAACAGATGGAAATATTGAAAGTCAACTCTAAGAGACGGAGAGACGTTACAAACACATGAGGACCAAACTGCCTGCCCCCTCTTACCGTGCTGGTGGACTCGGAGGGCAGTGGGGAGACGATGAGCAGCGTCACTCCGGCCGCGTCCGCGCTGCGCATGGCCTCCACTACGTCGACGTGCTTGGCCCACTTGCAGTCCTCACCACCCAGAGCCACGATGCAGTCTCCATTCTTCACTCCTGCCAGCTGTGGGGCCATAGCAGTGGGAAACAAGAGGTGCAAACCTTTTCAAGGAAAACATGTGATCCACCGATATATACATATAACTCGTATTGCTTTAATATAATTTAGTTATGAATCGTAGAACGAAAGACAATCCAACGTAGCCTTATCCTCATCAAACATTGTAATGCTAACCACATGCCAATGTTTACCCTCATACACCAAAGCCATACAATCACATTCATCAATCGGTGCTCATCTTTCTATCTTGGTCTCTTATAAGGAACGTCCCAGAGTTATGCTTCGTCGATAAGATTGGACAGCCACTAATTTCTTAGTGATTACTGACAGTGAAAAACACTGCCGCATTGAGATTTTCGGAAGGCCAAATGGCCTGCATTTACAGACACTGTGGCCGTAATATGATGGAACTGGTTGGGGCTAGGATACTATATCTATCACAGGTGTCTGGGTGTCATGGTGGCCAGATGTTAACTACCTCGCCTGGTATACAGGAGGTTGTGGGTTTAATTCCGAACCTGACACCTGTATATTTGGAGTTTGCATGCTCTCCCCGTGGTCCTGTGGATTTTTTTCCGGGTCCTCCTGCTTTTCCCTACGTATTTAGAAACATGCGTCTAAGAGTATTTGGCTGTTGTACATTTCCACATGTTAAGCCACTTTGTTGAGCTATCATTTGTGGCCAGGTCGCTTCTGTAAAAAAAATAAACAGCAGAGTGGGCCTTATCTGGTGAAATAAAAATTGTTTGTATAGTTTAGATTAGTCTGTAAATGAGAAGTTCTGAGGCAGCAGATGACCTCAGGTGGCAATATGTATGGAGCAAGCTATTAGATTACTCAACTAATGTATGAACGGTTGTAAGTTCATATATTATTACGGGGTAGGCTTAGCCCATAATATCTTTGGGGATAAAATATCTACCACTTCTGGGCCTATCAAGGACCTCATCAGAGATCCTTCTGTCCAGATGCCTGGCTTCGAACTCCCAAGGCGCCAGTGAGTTCAGTTGATCCGCTTCCTGCGTGACCAGGGGGTGTGTGCCACTTCTGAACATCTGTAGTGACTGGTTTGGAGACGTAACTCTTGGAGGCAATTATTTAATTTAACACCGAGCACACTTAGTACACTACATACAATACATACACCCCCTACACTTACACAACGCTGTCTCTCGCTTAAAACACAACTCTACTCTGGTTGCTAGCCTACAACACAACACGAGCTGTCTGACACTGACGGCGCTGAGCTAAGACAGCCAGCTACAGATAGTAGCGCAATTATCAAGTGGACGGCGACAGCGACGAAGGCACGAGACGACAGCGGCGAAGGCGACAGCAGCGACGACGACGAGGGGATCCCACTCAAACGACGGCCTCGAGCCTTCACTCAGGTCCCCTTTTATCCTGTTACCATGGCCTCGCTCCGCCTTGGCCATGCCCCCCTTCTGGAACTTACGAGTGGGCTCTCGACGCATCCCCTCCGTAACCTTTACCCTAGATCCCTCTCTGGTCTGTCACGTGGCCTGCTTCACTCTGCAAATCACCTTCCCTGCCAGCAGGCAGCGCTATGCCACGTAGTGACCAATTTATGTCTTAACTCATCGATGGAGCCTACATGACGGCCTTCTGTGTGAATGCGGAGAACAGGACACCATGGCGTACATTGTCTCCAGCTGTGAAGTCCGTCTGGGCATGCCAGGCAGACTTGTTGTCAATCAAGTGCTGGAGGACGAGGCCGTCATCTAACACTGTGGCTATGTGGGCTGACGTCCACCCACATAATAACATCGACATGCATATGTGCAAATATTATTATTTATTTACCTTGTTTATCTGGTGCTCTGTGTAAAAGTCACGTGTTAAAGCATTCACTAAAAAAAGTTCTGGGAAGTCAACAGTGGTTCTCTTACGGACAGACTCACCCCCGTCATAGTAAAGTGTATTTTCCACTAATGGTTCAAAGTGTCACTTATGGCAATGGCCACTAACCTCGGCGACACTGCCGGTCTCCACGGTGGCCACCCTGACGGGCGAGTCTCCTCGCAGCACCAGTCCATAGCCGTCGGCGCAGGGCACCAGCTTAACGCTGCGGGGCGACGTCCAGCTGTGCTTGGCCGAAAACACAGACAGAGGGCCCTAGGTACAGACAGGCGATCATCAACACCACTGTAGTCATCTGTTTACCAAATATGAATTAATCTGTAATGTATGTGTGTTGAACTTCTTTCGCACCGTATCAAACCAACCGTGCTCATCAGAGGTTCGGGGGAAGGACAACAAACTAAACACAAAAAAGCAGTTCTAAAGCAAAGAGTTTTAAAAAGGTAACATCCAAATGTACAATAGAAATTGAAACGAAGTGAATCGTATATATTGTGTAATACTACAAGCTTGTATCAAAAGAAAATGCAGACCACCCTGGTTAATTCGGCGGGTGTACTAATCATGAACAGGTGCCATCTGCATTACAGTGGACATTAAAGATGCTGTGACATTACGTGAACAAGAGGATCCCCCTGTGGTGTACCAGCGGCAAAACTCAAAACTTGGCAAACTTGAAAAATCACTTGCAAATGATTTAATTGGTATAACTAAAGTCAATTTCACCCCTAGCAGGCTAATACCCACTTGTAGCTCAAGTGGGTATTAGCCTTGTGCTGCACATGAACAGCTGTCATCATGGGGTCCCCCCTAGGCTAACTAAAAAAAACACTCCAGCTGAGCATTACAGTGATTTAGATGTGATCTACAGTACACTGCTTTGAGATTTTGGGGCATTTAAGCACCTAATCCGTGACCAGAAATTAAACTCAGGTCGCCAGGTTCATAGCGCTGTGTGCTAACCGATGTGTTACTAATCCACCAGCTGTCAGCAAAGCACGAAAATAAAACTGCAGATTGAAAAAATGTACACGTAATCTTACCTATAAACGTCATTCTTTGTCTGTGTGTGTTAATGCGCTTGTGAGGGATTTGGCTCTCAAACGGTGGAGTTTACGTTAAACGTTTTTTTGCCAGGTACCACGCCGTAAGCCCCGCACAGTTGGCAAGCGCTATTCCTTTTTCACGTCCCTCACCTTTAATTGAGTATAAGTAGCGATGTAGTGGATCTTTATTTAATTATTCAATACGCACGCTCGACCACACCAACTCATGCATTTTTGGTGGGGGGGACGGACCATGCCAAATCACACGCGTTCGGTGAGGGGGACATTTTATTTCGCGTTAAAAATGCTACAAAAAACACAACGCTGAGGTGCATTCTTCACTTTGTGATGTCCTCTTCTCCCCCTACCCCACCCCGATACGTACAGTTACTACTATAGAGTCCGTACATATTGATATAGCGCTTAGATAGTATTATTGTTGCGCGGCCAGGGGGATGGTGGGGGGGGGTAGCGGCCCAGCCCCCAGCCTGCCGGCTGGGCAATCTAGGCAAGGCCGGGGGGGCTCTGCACGGGACTAGGCCTCACCATGCCACTCTGTCAGGTTCGTGGTTTGTGCTATAGAATCGATTTATACTGCTATAGAGTCAGCATGTACTACTGTTGTGATAGCACGTACCACCACAGTCAGTATGCACTGCTGTAATCATAGCAGGTACCACCACATTCAGTATGCACTTCTGTTGTCAAAGCATGTACCACCACAGTATGCACTGCTGTTATCATAGCAGTACCACCACGTCTATGGGACTACAAACACCCTACAGGGACAACCTGCATGCCCTTGCTCAAGAGATCCTATGTTAAATATGCTGTTATGCTTTACAGCTTCTTAAATTTATTTAGGAAAATTAACCAAAGCTGAAGGATGCACAAATACAAGCCTACGCGAAAATCTTGGAAGACATTAAGACTACAAATCGAGTCTTTTTTTTCCTTGATGCACCTGCCAGTACTGGGAAGACCTTTATTTTCAAACTGCTCCTCACTCAGGCTCGCCAGAGAGAGAAAATGTATCTAGCTGTGGCATCATCGTGGATTGCTCTGTAAGTCGATGTGTGTGTGAGAGTCGATGTGTGTGTGTGAGAGTCGATGTGTCTGTGTTTAGGTCCATGTGTGTGTGTAAGTCGATGTGTGTCTGTGTCTTTTTTGCCCGGGCAATGCCAGATGTCTGTGTGTGTACGTCGATGTGTGTGTGTGTGTAAGTCCATGTGTGGGTGTCAGTCGCTGTGTGTGTGTGTTAGTCTATGTGTGTGCATGGCTTTATGTGAGTGTGTAAGTCACTGTGTGTCTGTGTCTGTGTCAGTCGATGTGTGTGTGTGTACGTCGATGTGTATGCGAGTCCATATGTGTGTGTAAGTCCATATGTGTGTGTGTGTAAGTCAATGTGTGTGTGAGTCCATATGTGTGTAAGTCGATGTCTTTGTGTGTGTGTGGGTCAATGTCTGTGTATGTCCGGCAAAACAACCTCCTACCTCCTCGCGGTGCCGGACGGGCAACACTGTCGTGGGCAGTGCTGTGGGGGGAGGGCCAATGCCCATTGGCCTCTCCCCTCATGGCGTCTGTGACCACCACAGCGGCTAAACGGGGGCTCTGGACGGGTGTGAGGGGCTGGTAACCCCTCCACCTTCAATTAACCACCACTAAACCACGAATTAAACATAAACCTGTAACAAATAAGCTTGTGCCGGAGGCCCCGGGGGGTCAGGCTTTTATGACGTCTCCTGGCCAAACCCCATTTGGCGGAGCCAGGAGATTGAATTTTCACCCTCGGGGCTCCTCCAGAAACAACAAAAAACCATTGCGGATGGCCACGTGGAATGTTCGAACGCTCACTGCGGAGGAGAGGCTGCCACTCCTCTGTCGGGAGCTGGACCGGTACCGCCTGGATCTCTGTGGCATTCAGGAGGTCCGGTGGACCGGTTCTGGCTCCTGCCACCATGAGGGGTGGACAGTCCTCTACTCGGGGCAGGAGACTGCCAAACAACAGGGTGTGGCTCTTCTTCTGAACAAAAGAATGAAGGGGGCGTGGGAGCGTGGCGGTGAGGTGTGGGAAGCTGTAAGCCCCAGGATACTTTGGGCTCGCCTTCCCATCAACCAGAGGCGAGGAGTGGTGGTCGTGGTTACTTATGCCCCCACCGAAGACGAACATCCGTGGAGGGATGCAGGCAAAGCCGATGAGTCAGACTCTTTCTATGACCTCCTGTCACAGGTGCTGGCTAAAGTGGCCACTCGGGACAGAGTCATCTTGTTGGGTGACTTCAATGCCCGAGTTGGTCATGATGCTGATACCTGGTCTGGAGTGATTGGAAGGCATGGGCCAGATCAGCTCAATAATAACGGTAGGAGGCTGCTAGATTTTTGTGCAGCCCATGGGCTTGTAATTACCAACACGCTCTTCCGGCATCGGCGCATCCACACAACATCATGGATACATGCCGGGTCCAAGCAAGAACATCTGCTGGACTACATAGTGACGGACCAGCGGATGCGAACCCATGTCCTTGACACCAGGACCTACCGTGGAGCTGATCTCTCCTCTGACCATCGACTAGTCATCTGTAAGATGCGCCTGCCTTTCTTCCACTCCGGTGGTGGGTGTACACCCAGGATCCCATTCCAACCAAAAGTGGCCTGGTCTCAGTTAGCTGAGGAAAGTTGCAAGCGAGAATTTCATCATCGCTTGCAGCTGGGGTTGGCATCGTCCCCCACTCCACCTGATGTCGAGGGGAAATGGGCGAGGTTTAAGACTGTGACTCATGCAGCTGCAATGGCTGCTTTGGGTACGCGGTCCAGACCTCCCCAGAAACCCTGGCTGACAGAGGAGGTGTTCAGGTTAATTGAGAAAAAGCGTCAGGCCCACTCTCATCGCCTACAGCATCCCACGTCAGAGAATGAGGAGGGTTACCGCAGCCTTCGCTCAGAAGTTCGGAGAGCCGTAAGGCGCTGTAAGGATGGGTGGTGGTCGCGGGTTGCTGAGGAGATGGAGTCTGCCTCAGTGGCCCGTGATCACAAATCACTATTTAACTCCATCAAAAAAGTAACCTGCAGCGCCACACCTATTACCATCATTAGAGGAAAAAACGGTGATCCAATCTCCGACCCCCAGGAACAGGTTTGCAGATTTGCTGAGCATTTCTGTGAGGTCCTGGGGGAGGGAAATTCTCTCAGCCAGGAAAACATCATGGCACAAAGTGGTGATAACCCTGCTGAGGCTGCGGTGCCTCAAATATTGGAAGAGGTCACCCCCTGTGAGTGGCTGGCTGAGGTGCCAGCTGTTGAGGAAGTACTGAGGGCGATCCGGAGTCTGAGACCAGGGAAGGCATCGGGCAGAGATGATCTCCCAAGCGAAATGCTGAGGGAGGGTGGCGTTTGTGCACAGACTGCCCTATATGACATCATAACAACAGTCTGGACCACTGGACGGGTTCCGCAGGACTGGAAGGATGCCCTGGTGGTTCCCCTCTTTAAGAAGGGGGACCGTACCGACTGTAACAACTACAGGGGCATCTCACTCCTCAGTGTGCCGGGTAAGGTCCTGGCAAGGATTATTCAACATCGCCTTGCTAGGCACGCTGAGGAGAGGCTTGCGGAGCCCCAATGCGGTTTCAGGAAAGGGCGGTCCTGCACAGATGCCATATTTTCTGTCCGTCTGCTACAGCAGAGGTGTAGGGAATTCCAAAAAGACCTACATCTCTGCTTTATTGACCTGGTCAAGGCCTATGATACCATCAGTAGGCCTGGGCTCTGGGTTGTTCTTCGTGCTTTCGGAGTCCCTGACCCTCTGCTCACGATCATTAAGGACCTTCATGATGGTGAGCGGGCCCGGGTAAAACTACGTGGCCGGGAGTCGGAGCCTTTCCCTGTACACCTTGGGGTGCGACAGGGATGTCCTCTGGCTCCCACATTATTTAACATCTATTTTGACCGCGTAGTTCGTGAAGCCTTCAATAGCTGTACCGGGGGAATTTCCATTTGGTACAGATATAATGGGAGGCTGATCGACGCCCGGGTGCGATCAAGGGATGGCTCCCTATTGGTCAACCACGTTATGTATGCCGATGATTTGGTAATAGCTGCTCACTCAGAGGAGGAGTTGGAGACGCTGCTGCTGAGACTGGAGCGTGCCACTAAGAGGTGGGGCCTTACCATCAGCCCCACCAAAACTAAGCACCTGCCTGGGTATTTTGTACCATCGGACACTCCACCCCCACAACTCCCAATTGGTGATGGGGCAGTTGTGGAGAGAGTGGAGAGTTTCCCATACCTGGGCAGTGTGCTTATGACCGGCTCCAGTCTATCAGCAGAGGTCTCACTCCGAATCAGTCGAGCGGCAATATCTTTTCATCGGTTGCGTAACGCTGTGTGGAAGCTACCTGGTCTGTCGCTCCGCACGAAGCTTCAGGTCTTCTCGGCCACGGTCATTCCCTCCCTTCTCTACGCTTGCAAGACGTGGACCCCCCTGGTGGAGCATCTTCGCCGGTTGGAAACATTTAGGCTGGCCTGCCTACGATCCATCCTGGGTTTAACCAGGCTGGATTGTGTGAGGAGCTCACAAATCCTTGAAAGATCTGGGCAAAGTCCCATCAGTGAGCTCCTCCGGCAGGCAAGGCTGCGTTGGCTGGGTCATGTAGCCCGCATGCCCAGCCACCGCATGCCTAAACAGCTTTTGTTCGGCCGGATCGAGGGGGCTAGACGGGCGCGGCACGGGCTGGAGAAGAGATGGAGTGATGTGGTACAGGAGGACGTGGAGCTGAGTGGACTTGCCGATGACTGGTACCAGCGGTGTCAAGATCGGCCTCAGTGGAGGAGGCTCGTGAAGGACGCTACTGGGCAGTTGGAGGCAGTCGCCCTCCAACAACAACGGACGGCGGAGGAGCGACGCTCACAACAACGAGCGGAGCGCCGGGTGGCTAAAGCACAGCAAGTTGGCACAGTAGGGGGCACAGGTGGTGCATCAGCCAGTCATCTCGGTCATCTCGGTCAGTCGACCCGTGGCACCTGCTGGGTCTGCCCCGTGACCTCCTGCCAGCGGGCTTTCGACACTTCACGTGGCCTCAAGGTGCACTTGGCCTGGCACAAGCATCGTGGTGACGTCACCGCCACTTAGTGGCGAATGGCGGTTGTTGTTGTTGTTGTTGTGTATGTAGGTCGATGTGTGTGTCTGTCTTTTTCACCCGGGCAATGCCGGGTACTTACTGCTAGTTTACAAGAAATCACAACATTACTGTGTTATTATCACCACTCACTTTCGTGTGATGTTATATCTCGATAGCTCGCGTGTGTAGCGTCTTCAAAAATGACTCACACCGACACGTTGTAACCTGCTTACACTTTATTCACCTATTCTTGCACCAGTTGTAAGCACTCCTGTAACTATATTTCTGGTAACTTATGTTTAACTTCTCCCTACTCTTATCTACCTTCCACCTCACTTGTCCTGCACTCGGCAGCTTTGCTCTCAGTGACTCCGCACACAGCGTCTTCGCACACAACGACTCCGCACACAGCAACTCTACATCTCCACTGCAGTCCTCACCTACGCTACCCCAGACCCACTCAACTGTCTGTCCCGGGAGGGGGGGATCGGCCAACACCCGCCCGGCGACGGCGTGAGGGTTGAGGTCCTGTTGACGGCTGGAGCAGCGAGATGTCTTCACTCTTTGACCCCGGCAACAACTCCCTCTCCGCTCCCGCACACACCCTTATATCCCTCTGCTAACTATCCGAGACCTCTCGTGCGTCTCTTTAAGCTCTTGCCAGGCCGGCGCCTGTCGGCCCATCAATCAACCCTTATCTCCCATCTCCCTGGCAACACCTCTGGTCTCGACGTGCACAACCGGTCGACCCCGTTTGTACCTGCTTCACCCCTTAACAACTGGCGGTCTGTCCGTGCAAACCTCACGTTGCACACGCACACTTGTTTGCCCTCAGTTGCCCTTGGTTAACTGTGCACACCACGTATTTCACTCCTCTACACATGTATAAATGCAAATATACATTGGTATGCATTGCATTCATACATTTACTACAATACTTCATTTCCAATGGAACAAAAACCCTTACCAGCTCGTGGAAAAAATCCATCACTTTGATCTTGGAAAAATCTGGAGGCTTCATTTCCGCCTTATACAGAGACTTGGCTGTGAAAAATCAAAAAGAAACACAAGTCAAATAAATGTTATTTTCTCTCTTTACACATTCACATATCGTACTTCTGTTGAGATATCCTGCCATGCGAGTGTTAAGAATGGTCATTGTGCACAACTGGGCATTTAAAAGTTTTGCAATCATGCCACGTTGATATTGTAGTGAGGTAAGCAGTTATTACCTCATTGAAATGCACAAAAAAATTAAATCAATTTGTATTAAGGTTTAAACTATTTGAGCAAACAAGAAACCTGTGTATAGAAAATAAAAAGTAGTTTGTCTGAACAGATGCTAAATCCAATCTTGCATATGAGCTCTCATTCACTCAACTACCCCCTCCACACACACGCTCTCCTACCTCTGCTCTCTCATCCCACTTTACTCCTCCATGTGCACTCTGATCCGGTGACCGAGCCTTTTGTCAACCCCCCCAACCCCCCTGATCCGCTACTCCAGTTTAATTTGTTTAACCAGGATTAGTCTCATTTGCAAGGGTGATCTGTGTCACCAACATGGCAAAAGGAAAACAAATAAAATCAAGTGCAGTGACGAAACAAATAGAAAGCACTGAAAAAACAACTGTGTCATATAAAAATGTGGATAAACAATCAACATCAGATAATATACTCCCTGTAAAGCAAGTTGGTTTGTGCAGATTATGTTTAGACTGATCATCGTGCAAATACAATTAAGTTACAGCATTTTTAAACAGATATTGGGTGGCCACTGTATTAATATGTAAAGAGAAAGGGATATGTCAAACTCAATGGGTGGTTGTTCTTTCTCTGCAAATGCCCCTGCTGTCGGTAACTCCCTGCCTGACTCCATTTAGCTTTTCCAGTACGGGCTTAAGACCTGAAGACCTTCCTCTTCTCATCTGCAAGTGACTGACCGTTTCAATCTATCCAAAGATCTCGATCATCACGATAAATTCCCCATTTTCCCCTGCTCTAAGTAACTTTCCTACTTTAAGAAAAAAAAACAATCGGATTAATTTTTCACAATCTAAGACCCATTTGTTGCGCGTGTACAGTGCCATAATGTGTGGTCACATCTTTGATGTTTTATGAATTCTAGTTGTGTTGCAGTGTATTATGATTGAACATGTTCTGTTTGGATGCTTTTTATAATGGTTTATAATGGAGGCTGCAAAATTTGGCAGACACCAAGGCATTTGGAAAAGTAACAAAAGAGCTGTGCAATGCAAGTAATTTTTTGATTGTATTATTATGCATGTTTACCCAGAACCACCTCAAACTGTAATCTTTTCAGCAGGGTCCCGCTAAGTTTCCACTGTAGGGGGCGATGTTGCTGCTGTGTGTAATCCCAATAAGAGTAATTTTCAGGTAAGTTGTCAGCATTGTTATGTTTGGCCAATACCAGTTACATTGTATGTTTTTTTCCTATGGGAGAAAACCGGAGAACCAAGTGGAAACCCTCGCAGAACAGGGAGAGAACATTCAAACTCCACACAGAAAGGCGCCCGAGTCGGGAACCGAACCCAGGAACTTCTTGCTGCGAGGCACGAACGTTGCGCCACCCTGCCGCCCAATAAAAATGAAAATGCACATAGGGTAGGTGCGGGAACTGCATTCCGAATATGGCAAGTGGAAACACGCACGGGTGATGTCGGGCACGTCAATGAGCACAAAGAAGTCGTCTTCCTCGTCGACGAGAGAATATTTGCTGAGAGAGCGCTCGTGGTCGAAGGCGAGCACCTCCTGCAGGATGTCCAGCCGGCGGAGTGGCTTGCAGAAGTTGTGAACACGCAGCGCCTCCTCGTGCTGCATTATCGCCTTGCGCAGGTGAGCTTTGCCTGTGGTGGAAACCCGGTCATGGATTTAACAAAAAAAACGACGCAGGTAGTGTTTAGTAATATGAGAATCTGTGCTGTGTGTACTTATGTATGTTGAAATTCTTTCACTCTTTCTGTACGGAAAGGGAAGATATTCTATGTATGTATGTTGAACTTATTTCACACTATATGTAGAAATAACTGTGCTAATCAAAGGTGTGGTGTGAAGCCGATGTTCATTGAAATATGCAGAAGTATATTCTGGTTTTCGGAGTTCACGACCTGATGAAACTTCAAAGCAGTTAGAGCAAAACGTCGCATGCTGATGTTAAAATCAGTCATGAAAGTCTCAAACCACCGATAAGGAGCTTTAAGCAAGCAGAATTTGATCAATATGTTTGAAAGTATAAATAACTCGCCTTTTTCCCGTCCAAGTGTATTGCAGTAAATCTGAAACTTGCAAGTGAAAAGCAGACTGCGACGTGATATTCATTGCATTAATGCGTGTGCAATTTGTCAAGGCGCGGTGACACAGACCTATTCCATTTTACGGTTATAATCCCTTGTTCATCATGACGTCCTTTTTACTTTGATGTCTCAATAGCGTTACGGAGATCGCGTGACGTGAGGGTTCTGCCTTTGTCGTGAGGGTTGTAAGTTGACGCCGAGGAGAGGGGAGGAGGCGCCTCGGCCCCCTATGTGGAGTGACGACAGCCACTAATTATTATGAATGGGGGGGGGGGGTGTCCATTTGGAGGACGTCACCTTATAATGATTATTAATAAGGGGGGCTGTTCGATGTGGAGTGACATCACCTGCTCATGATTATTAATGAGGGGGAAGGGTGCTCCATGTGGAGTGATGTCACCTGCTCATGATTAGTAATGAGGGGTGGGGGGTGTCCATTTGGAGGATGTCACCTGCTAATGAATATTAATGAGGGGGCTGGTCGATGTGGAGTGGAGTGAAGGACAGACATCCCTGGGTGATTATAGTAGGTTTCACTTTTTAAACGTGACAACCTTGTCAGGAGGTGGTTTAATAAGAATTTTGACAAAAAACTACTAGGTGGCCCAACCTAAAAAACAAATATGAATCATTGTATTGGCCATAAAAATCTAAGTAGTTTTTTTTGTTAGCCTGTAATATAAATGCCATAGTTACAGATTGTTGTTGTCATGCTCTTGGGGCCGTTGGGCCGTTGTTAACCCTTTCCCATTCCGAGACATCTGCAAGTTGCAGGGAGGGGTGTCCCGTTCACCGCTGAATCTCGCAACGCGCAAGCGGCTCGGCGTTAATTTTATTTAGAGAGGCGTAGCGCCACTGCTTTTAAAGACATTGTACTCACTGCAAAGAACTGTAGCGACACGACCGCACTCTATGACAGCTCGCGCCAGACTGTGCCACACGCCCTCCCGCATGGCCTTTTACCTCCGATTCTCATCAGAAGAAAAACTGATGACGTATGTGTACGTCATCGGAATGCGAAAGGGTTAAGAAGAGACATTTTACCAAGTTTCCTGCGCTCCTCATTGTCCCTGAGTAGCATGAGTGGAGAACTCCACTCCGGCTGTTCCACGTGCAGCTGGGAGAGCAGCTTTTCCTGCAGGTCAGCATCATCTGTGGGTCCCACTGGAATCACAAAGACAAAGAAACCCCGTGTAGCTTTTTTATAGACTTTTCGGGCAAGTGCTGTTAGCGAGCACCAATGAAGGCCAGCATGGCACACAAGGGGGTGGGTGGCCAGCACCATGCCCGGTCGTCTTTGTCTCCCTAGTGGTGATGTTTATGCACCGCGCTGGGTACTCAATTGAGACTGGTCGACCTCGGTGAGGCCCAGGATAGGTTTAGATATACATCACTTAACCTGTGAACAGGAGTTGAAGTGGACTCACAGGATCAATAAGGCAGTGCGTTAACCTATGCAGTACTGCTCTTCAAAATCACCCGCCCATGCAAAGATCCCCCATATCACTTGAACATACTGTTGGAGAAAGTGCTGTCAGTGAGCACCCACCCATGATGTAAAATTTATGGGGGAGAAATCCACTTTGGTAATTACCCATTACTGTTATTCAAATGCTACAACACAATAGACCCATGCTAGTTATATCCTATACAACAACTAATGGTGATGCAGTTTAGTAATATAACTTTCCTTTTAGTTGTAAGAGCATAAAAAAGTGACAGTTTTTCATCTTGTACCCCAACAGTTTCTACCTAGAGAAAGACTGCGTTTTTCGATGAACAAGGAGTTTGCAGCGATAAGGGCAGCATGCTCAACTCAACTCATTCAACTTGTTCTTACAGTCAAATGCTGGCTGTGGTTGTGGGAGAGAAGCTGAAATAGTGCCCGAGGCCGGACCTGAGACTCTGCCCTTAAGAGTGATTCCCCTGTCAGCTCAACCCCTGCTGTGACCCCTGAATTAATTACATGGATAAAAGAAAAGCAGGAACTCAAAGTTAACCTCTGTTATAGTCCCTGTGAAAATAAAAACAAGGCCTCAACCTATTTTGAAACTATACACAGTTAAACGCCTGGGCTCACTGGCTTGTAGAGGGCAGACATTCTACGAATGTAAGTTGAACGTCTTTCGCACAGTACGTAGCCATCCATGCTAATCGGAGGTGCGAGGGAAAGACAACTAAACACAAAAAGCAGTGCTTAAGAAATTAGTTTTCAATCTAAATTTAAAAGTGGCATCGCTGAAGTGGCTTCCTAATATCACAAGGAAGAGTGTTCCAGATGGCTGCGCATATGAAAACGCGCAATGCAGTAACAGACTTTGTTCAATCGTTAGACAAAAGCCACTGCGAAAATATGGAGAAGTGAATGATCAGAGGTTTTAGGAACAACACAGTGGATGGAATATTACTGATGACAATGGCTAACCATCTAACAAAGATGGTCACTGCATCGCACGCTTTCAGATGCGCTTCTGCGGCCGTCTGGCATGCATACCTGTCAACCCATATGGTTGATCTGTATTCTTGTACAGTTCAGGTCCGTATGGCGTATATCTGTTTTAATACGGGCAACATTCCGTTTGTCTATTTGTTTGTGTTTCTCTCTTGTGATGGGACTTTGTAGCATGAACGTTGAGATTTATAAGGGCATTGGGTGACCAATAAGGTCTGAATTGGTCTGTAAACAGGTAGGCACTGATAAGGGATTGACAGGTATGGGAATCTAGATTTGACGCTTTCGTGACTGCAGGAATCAATACTCTTTGGTTCTTTCAGTAAAGTCACGTAGGTATAAAATAAAATAAATCACGACGTTTCGATTGCAACACAAGCAATCATCATCAAGTGGGAAAACCACGGCAAGAATTTTTTTTTGCTGAAGTGGGAGAGAGATGCCGTGGTAAGAGGTTATATCGGTAAGAAAGGGGGGGAGGGGCAAGGGGGGAGAGAGAGGGGGGTGTGGGGTAGGGGGAGGAGAGCGCTGCGTGAGCACTAGGAGAGGGGACGCAACGCTGGGGGAGGGGGGGGGGAAGTGGGCAGGGCTAGAAGTGGGAGGCCGAGAGAGCTGGGGATGCGGGGGGGGGGAAGTTAACTCGGAAAAATAGACTAGTATCCGGCAGATATGATAAACAACAACCATAAAGCAGTTAGGGTTTTACCTGGTTAATAACATGCTTCCAATGATTGCTCAATTTGTATCCATCTTCTCGGTTTAAGTTACGTCTACGTTAATATATCTGGATGGCTTCATGAACAAAACTTTGATAGTAGCCCGAAGGTTTGCAGAGTACCTTGGTCTCGGAAAACACAATATCATAGTGAGCCCACAGCGTTATAACAATGGTCAGCTACTGCAGAGGTATTGGTTCTGCCGTGTTGCAAATCTGCCTTGTGTTCGCGGACACGGTCCGAGACATGTCGTTTCGTTTCCCCGATGTAACTGCTGCCGCAGGTACAATTCAATTTGTAAACTCCAGGATATTGCATGTCAGGAATGACATCCTTTACAGATGGGAATAGATCACGGATTTTGTGTACTGTATTGAATCGGACCTGGATCTTGTGTTTGTTTAAGATTTTGGAAATCGTTTTGGAAACACCTGCTATGTATGGTAACATGATGGTTTTGATTGGCTTCTCAGGGGGTTGTTTCGCCATAGTTGGAGAAACAGCTTTGCGAATAATGCGGTCCGAGTACCCATTCATCTTGAGGGCCTGGTGTACGTGTTCCAGTTCACTGGCTAGGTGGTGTTAGTCAGAAATGCAGTGGGCCCTATGGTGTAGTGTTTTGATAAGGGAATTCTTCTGTGCCGGATGGTGGTGGGAATCAGGTTTCAGATAGGAATCTGTGTGGGTGGATTTCCTGTAGACAGAGTGTCCCAACGAGCCGTCATGTCTCCTCAAACAAAACATCCAGGAAAGGTAGCTTACCATCCTTCTCCACTTCCATGGTGAATTTGATGGATGGGTGTATGGAATTGATGTGGTTGAGAAATTGGTTCAAAGCTGGCAGGCCATGTGGCCAAATGACGAAAGTGTCATCAACATATCTCTTCCACAAGGAAGGACGTAGGGTGGATGTCTGGATGGCATCCGTTTCAAATTTCTCCATGAAAACATTCGCTATCACTGGTGATAAGGGGAGACCCATGGGGGTACCTTCATTCTGTTTATAGAAAGTACCATTCCAGGTGAAGTAAGTGTTGGTAAGGCAGTGCCTAACCAGATCTAGATCAGTTAGACAAGACACTCTACAAATCACACTTATCTTTGAGTGCAACAATGTCCACATCGGATTGGGAACATGTAGATAAAATGACTGCCTCTTCAGCTGCCGCTGTCGACCAAATGTAAGGACAACTTGATTTCCAAATTCGATCGCCTCTCAAATAAGAAACCGGACCCACACATTGAAAAGCTAGATGTTAACAAAGTCGTAATTAATCGCAGTAACAGGTCTATTTCTAAGGCCTGAAATCCGTTTTAGCTTAAGGACTAAACTTTGCAGTCACACCTAGACACATACCAGTTAATGACATAATTGCTAGAGTAGATGTAGCTCTCAAGGGCCTGAGTCACATCGCTGCAGACGTAGCAAGATCTGAAATCTCTGCAACCCTCAAAAACGCTAAGATGCCAGCTAGCAACATCAGCAAAGATGAGCGTTTTGAATTAGCTCAATTAGAAAAGAGGGATGACATTGTCATCCTCTCAGCCGACAAAGGCAATGCCACTGTCATCATGGACAAAACAGAATACAACAACAAAATCCAAGAACTACTCAACGATGGCAGCTATACAAAAATAAAAAGAGACCCCACCAACAGCCTTGTCTCTAAAACCAAGCAAATCATTTCTGATTCAACCGCATTAATTGATCAGACCAAACAGTTCTCGTTGAAACCTTCTGCAGCCAGGCCACCAAGATTGTACGGCTTGCCAAAGATACATAAAGAAGATACACCTCTTCGTCCCATTGTCTCTACTATCAACTCCCCCACCTATAAATTGGCTCGTTTTTTGTCTGAAATCCTACGGCCTTTCACTGGAAAAACCACCTCTGCGGTACTAAACTCTACTGTCCCCAGACGACCTGCTTGTCAGTTTTGATGTGGTTTCCTTATTCACCAAAGTTCCTGTACCTGACACCATCGCAATCATTGAAGACTTGGTTCATCAAGGACTGAATGCTGGGGTACCCCCCCTGGTGAGACACTGCTTAACCAATACATACTTCACCTGGAATGGAACTTTCTACAAGCAAACTGAGGGCACCCCAATGGGCTCCCCCCTATCTCCGGTTGTAGCCAACATCTTCATGGAGAAATTTGAGACTGACGCCATCCAGACTGCCACTCTACGCCCGACCTTATGGAAGAGGTACGTAGACGACACCTTTGTCATCTGGCCACATGGCCGGCCTGCTCTAGACCAATTTCTCGACCACATCAATTCCATACACCCAGCCATCAGATTCACCATGGAAGTCGAAAAAGATGGCAAGCTACCCTTTTTGGATGTCCTAATTAAAAGGAGACCTGATGGTTCAATGAGCCACTCTGTCTACAGGAAAGCCACCCATACGGATGCTTACCTAAAACCGGATTCCCATCACCATCCATCCCAGAAGAATTCCCTCATCAAGACTCTATACCATAGAGCCCAATGCATTTCCGACCAGGAACACATTGGCAGTGAACTCAAACACGTACGCCAAGCTCTTAAGGCTAATGGTTACTCCGACTACACAATCCGCAAGGCCATCACTCCAACCATCAAGAAGGATCCTGTTGAGGAGCCTGTCAAGGCCATCACCTTACCCTACATTGCTGGGGTCACAAAAAAGATCTCCAAAATCCTGATTAAACACAAGATCCACGTCCGATTCAACACAGTACATAAAATCCGTGATCTGGTCCCGTCTGTAAAAGATGTGGTTCCAGACATACAGTACCCTGGCATCTACAAACTAAGTTGCCTCTGTGGTAGCAGTTACATTGGAGAAACCAAACGACATGTCTCGGACCGCATCCGTGAACATAAAGCAGACCTGAAACACGGTAGGACAAACACCTCAGCCGTGGCAGATCACTGTTACAATTCAGTGGGCTCACATGACATTGACTTCTCCAAGACAGAGGTTCTCTGCAAGCCATCTGGCTATCATGAGAGATTCTTTCATGAGGCGATCCACATATACAAACACAGAGACAATTTCAACCGAGAAGATGGATTCTGGCTTAGCAATCATTGGAAGGACGTAATAAACCATTTCGGATCTTAACTGATTGTGTTCACGTTTACGGTGACTCTCAGACCGCGTTCCACTCACTGGCACTGTATTCTCCGCAGGGAATGGATTCTTTGCTCTGCTACTCTCCCATTGTCATATTTCGTTGCTGCCTCTTAGTATCTTTCACACGACGGTCAATGGTACAGTGTATAATAACAAATGGTATAACATTTATATGCTTAATACAATGTACAAAGTAATATATAGTATCGTAATTGTATAGTGAATATATAGCAGTGTGATATACATTAGGGTGGGTAGAATAATACATAGTGTAATATAACAATGTATAGTAATACAGTATGTAATTTAATGTTGGGTTTGTCTATGGGGGGCAGACCTGTTTGATGTAAGGGAAAAAAAGTTTAGCTGGAAGCATATTATATTTTTTGCGACATAGAATTGTAATGTATTACTTACTGTTAGTAGCTCAGCTTATTGGAGAGTATATTTAGTATACTGATGATACTATGAAGTTTATACTTGAGTTTTTTACGTGGTTGTTTGGTTGCTGCAGCTGCATACTATTCACATTCCTTCCCTTTGTTGGTGCTGCCCCTGCCCCCTCCCTTTGATGCTGCTAATCCTGCATAATGCATGGGCATAATATGACTTTGAAAACCCCCCGCGCACCTCCCACGCATTTCACAATTAGCACTATTCGCATTCCTGCATTTCCCATAAATATGCTAAATTCCTCTTCAAATGCAAATTATTTTGTCAAGGCTCTCTTTCTCCTCCCTCACAGCTTAAATAGACAGTCCAAGCCTAAGACGTGTCATTTAGACTCTGTCTTATCGACAGACATGTTCTTCACCTGAGGACGGCTGCTTGCGTTGTGGCCGAAACGTCGTGAGAATTATTTTATTATGTTTTATTTTTATTATTTTATTACTTCCCTTCGACGTGACTTTACCGAAAGAACCAAGAAGATGAATCCCTGCAGGATGTGTAACGTACGCGAGTGCTCCAGCAGCGCCAGTGCCACGTAGTGGTGGGACAGAGCGAGGAAGTGCAAGCTCTTCACCCGCACCATAGTGCGCCATGACACGGGTACGTAGTCCGTGATCGCCGTCTGGTCCATGGTCTGGTGAGTCACATTGTAGACGTCCGACACCTGTGCGCCAAAAAAAACAAATACAAAGATCCCCCATGTAGCCTTAACAGACTGGTGGGGTTAAGTGCTGTTAGAGAGCACCTATGAAGGCTGGAACGGCACACGAGGGGGTGGGTGGCCAGCACCACGCCCGACCACCTTTTTCTCCCAAGTGGTGATGTTTATTCATGGCACCAGGTACTCATTTGAGGCTGAGTCGACCTAGGGGAGGCCCAGGACCAGTTCAGATATTCGTCACCGATGTTCGTCATGAGCATCAATTGAACTTGGATCGCCGGGTTTGTAGCACCGCACAATAACCACTACACTACCGCTCACTCCCACCTGGGCAGCCAACAAATGTAACACATGCACATTAGAAAATTACTCTACATTGAACTATGTATTTTTAAAAATGACAATATTAATTGCAAATTGCATTTTAAATAGAACAGTTTTTTCAAAATCACAGGTAAATTATTTTTAAAAGTGGATACAATATTTATGGCTCATTAGGCATGTGTTCCTGATTTTGGGATTAAACCGAAACATTTGAAAACAGTCCCGAGATACAATATTTTGCATGCGGTTTCTGAGCTCGCTTCCTGATGATGCTCGAAGCAGTCTGAGTGAAATAGAGGTCGATGTTAGATTCAGTCAGTGAAAAGCCTTAAGGAAGGAGAGATGCATCCTTGGAATTATGCAGGGAAACAGCAAGGGAATCCATGGATCAGAGAACAAACGCATATTAGAAACATTACATTGACTGTTAAGATAAGTGGGCTTGGACAGCTGATGTACAGCTGTGGATAGATCACAGCTGCTGCTGATAATGATGATTAATTATGATAAAAGATGTAGTTAGACATAGGAGTGGAGATGAAAATGATCGATGTGGCAATATTACGGTAGAATTGGGAGGAAGGCGATAGAGGATGTGGGTGCTGCTTTCTTACCCTGGTGGCCTCCTGTGCGATGTTGATCAATGCAGGGACGTCGTTATGCAACCCCTGCAGCAGGAAACGCTCGAAGACGCACTCCTGCACCTGTGCAGCCATGAGGCGCACGAGCATCGTGAGCGAGGCCGGGCTCATGTCCAGGGTGGGTGCATGCGTGAAGTTTTCCTTTAGGTAGTTGAATGCACCTGTGCAGTCGGATGCGAAGACACGGGGCAGTCGCGCTTAACACAACTCACAACATATTTGTATAATTTGCGTCTTGTGTTTGCTAGCGAGAAGTTCTCAGTTTTAACCATAACGCATCAGTCTCCCCTTGAAACTACATATTTCAATGATGTTACTTAACTTACTCGTGACTATAGAAATATATGTATTGTCCAAGAGCTGAGAAAAACATTCCACTTTATTCAATGTCCACTCATTGCTGTGGTACGATGCCATTCCTTTTCATTTTCACTCCCTCGCATCCCTTGTCATTTCATACAATGAAGGGGCTAAGGGGGGCCTGTGCTGTAATTGACTTTCTGCGCCTCATGTGCCAGATTTCGTTTATCAGTTTTGCTATCGGCTTTAAGGCAGCCAAGAGCACTTATTTATTGGCCGTTTGTTTAATCACCTGGAAAAAATAACATTTGCTGTTTTGATTATATTTTTTCTATTAAATAACTTAAAACATATACCGCAATATATAATATACACACAGGACGATTTTTTTTTATCTTAAACTGCCAAAATAATTATTTCATTGCGTACCATTGCAATAAGTAAATAAATATGAGTTTACTTTAGATATATTCACGTTCATTTAAAAATTTACTGAAAAAGCTTATCTACATATGGTACAGTTAACTCTCAATAAGCCAAGGTTATGGGGGAAAGCTCAAATGCAAAACAAATGTAAATCAGGATATGAAAACAAACTTATTTCTTCAGCATATAAAATATAGGACCAGATGTAGAATGTGTCATTTGTCTTTACCCTTTACTGAACTAATCCATTTATCGCCATCCTAAAACTGAGAAAACAGCAATACTCGCCCTCCCGCTTCCGGCCAATATCCCTCTCGTCCTCCACCTCCAAACCAATGGAATGTGCCGTACTTGTCAGACTTTCCCCCAATATTGACCCACACCTGCCTGCTGAACAAGTTAGATTTCGAACTGGTTGTAGCTGCTGCGAACAGATTGTTGCATTCACCACCCTCAAAATAAGCTGGTTTCCAGCATGAATAGAAAACGGCATGGCAACGATTGACATCTATGCTCTGCTGCTGAAGATGGCCAAAACCATCAGATGCTGTGCTACTGGACACCAAATCAACGTGATGCTCAGCGCCTGTACCTGTAGGGTAAACCTTGCTATTGAACACAGCCACAAGAAAATCTTAAACAATGGTATCCCTCAGGTACTCTCACTATTTAACATATATGTGACCTGCCATGTATCTATATTATCTCGCAAGTTCATCCATGTAGATGGCATAGCCCTTGCTGCACAGGACACAAACTTCAAGAACATTGTTAATAGATGGTTACCGCATTACGAGCTTTCAGATGTGCTTCTGCTGTCATCTGGAATGCTCTTCCTTCTGATGTTAGCAAGTGACTGGGGCTATGCACTTTTAAAATCTAGATTGAAAACTAATTTCTTTAGAAATGCATTCTGTATTTAGTTTGTAGTCCAAACAGCACATCTCCTGCCTTTGACATTCCACAAAGAAATTGGTATAAGTGTCAACTGCATCAGAACATCAGCAGGCCGATGCACACATCTCCTTCATAAATAGAAAATTAAAGACAAGCCACAGTAATGCGACTGTGGCCATGCAACTCTAACTAAGGACCATCTAGTAAACCACTGTAGTTTACACTACTTCAAGGAAGGAATAGCAAAACTACACAAACTCTCTGCTGAAGCCCTCTCGTGGCTAGCAGACCTTGCCATTTCAATTTAGCTCAACATATTGCCATACGCAATAGAACATAATCAGTAAATTTTCCAAACTTTTTGTGGTCACATCGAGTCAGTCACTCGCGATGATGCCATTACAAATTTCCGGGCGGTGATGGTGCACGACTGCAACAAAACACTATGGAAGTGAGGGGTAGTGGATCACACAAACTGTTAAACTTACTTCCCATGGGTGCCATACCTTGACTTGCAAGGAGAAGGCAGTATAGCAAAAATTGTGGACTCCAACTCTTCCTTCGGTATGGGATGGACTGTTTCCCTATCGCACGCACGGGTTTACTCCGGCTACTCCGATTTTTTCCCAAATGTAAGCACTCATTAATAATGCCTTAATATAGAGAAGATCGCAGACCTTGGGCAATTGTTGGCACCAGTTCACCATGTGGCTGCCTTCCTACTTGTCTGTAGTTTCTCGTGTCTCTGAGTCTCTCTCTTCGAGAGTGAGTGAATACTGTGCGGCGACGCGTTACAAGTTGAAATTATTATTAACCCTTTCCTGTTCCAATGACATACATGTATGTGTACATCATCAAAACGACACCAGAATAAAAAAAAACTTTATTGGTACCGAGGGAGGGCGTCTAGCACAGTTTGGTACCAGCTATCTTAGAGTACTGCCGTGTCACTACAGTTTTCTGCAGCGAGTACAATGTTTATAAAAACAACAGTGCTACGCCTCTCCAAATAAAATTAATGCCGAGCCACTTTCGCATTCCGAAATTCATAGGCGAACAGGACCCACCCTGCAAATTGCAGATGTCTCAGAATGGGAAAGAGTTCATAACAATTACGTTTTGACTTGCGATTATCCAACAACATTTTTATAGGAAGTAAACTAATTTGTTTTATAATGAGATTTAAAAAAATGGTTCGCGAAACACTAACCGGCCGCTTTTTGGAAGGCGTCGATGGCACTGTGGAGGCCATCGTGCGCGGTGCGGTCCTGCCGCGCCCCGATCTGCGTGTAGAGGGCACCGACGTTGAAGAGCACGCTGCCTCGCTCAAACGCGAGCGTTCGCTGGCACGCTGGCATCCCGGTCAGCGAGTCATACCTGCACGCGGTGTGCAAGGTGGTGCACGGCAGTGTCACAACCGTCAATGCCTGACAGTATTGTTACCGATTAATAATTATAACTCACCGCAAGCAAATTGTATATGCAACTAAAAGTGTTATATTTTACTCAATTGTTGAGGAAATACATAGCAATCATCACCTTCAAATGTGAAAACATAGCAGGGCCCTCCTGAAATAGTACTGAGACTGAAGTGAGGCATTGCTGGGTAAACTAAACAAAAAAACTAAACTATTTTTTTTTTTACCAGGTAAGGCTTGCTGAGCTATATAGCTCTGTTTCAGAAGTGACTTGAGCACAAATGATAGTTCAACAAAATGGCTTATCATGTGGAAATGTATTGCAGCTAAATACTCTAAACACATGTTTCTGGAAGACCCAGAGAAAAATCCACATGACCATGGGGAGATACAGATGCAAACCCAAAATATACAACAGGTGTCAGGTTTAGGATCGAACCCACGACCTCCTGCATACGAGCCGAAGGAGTTAACATCTCACCGACATGGCGCCCCAAGCATAACAATGATGATTCTTCATGGAAAACGATAGGTTCGGTATCCAAGGCCGATGACATTACTTTTGACGGTTCGTGTGAACAGGGTGGGCCATGAGAACGCTGTCATTATCAGCAGCACATTGACAACGATGTTGTGTAAGGCACGGAGATGTAAATAATTGCAATCGGTTACTCACCACGTGAAGAAGACTCCGCTGTGCCTGTGCGGTGGGCAGAACCTGTTCTCCACAAAGTACAACTGGTTGTAATACTCCATCAGCAGCTCCACGCCAACCTCATTCCTTCGTGGAGTCCTCATCGCCTGCGCGCCCAGGTACAGCACAGCCAAGGGTCTACAACACAATACGTCGAACATTACACAGCGACGTGTTGCCTGTATTGTGGCTTCCTTCAATGTGTGACCACTGTAAAGTACTTACGCTGAAAAAAGTATTTTGAATGTCAGAGGCCTCTAATGAATGTGTAGTGGGTCCAAGTGAGTTGCAGACGTTGTTCCTTTTAGAGGCAACACTTTTATTTGTAACACCGTAACACCGTAACACAAAAGGCGGTAACTGCCCCTTTTCCAGACGACAGCGAGTTACTGCTACGAAGGGTCAATTCTTCACTCGGGTTTCCGACCACGTGGTGGCCTCATAAGACGGAGAGCTTCAGCTTGAGACGTAGAGCTTCCAGCTTGTAGAATGCAACGACCCCGGTCCCTCTCAGGGACCCACCTTATATCCCTCTTCGGTCGGGGCCGCTCTGCCCTCGGCCCCGCCGCCTTCTCGAACATTCTCGTTCCCTCTCGATCCTTCTCAAGAGCTCTCTCCGGACATGTGATCACCTATGAGTCCCCCCATCTGGGGCCCCCTGTGTGGGCATTCCGGATCATGTGTCTACGGGGTCAACCAGAGTGCCATGGCCCGGGGCAATACCTGCCTCTGGGCTGACACTCACCCACTCCCCCTCGTGGGAGCCCCCACCACATGCTGTGCGTGGTGCCCACACTATCCCAATGCTCGCCAAGCCCCGCTAGAGCTGGTATTATACACAGCCACCCACACGGTGCTGTCCACGATGTAGGAACATCGAACGGCATGACCCTTCCGGGCCGGCACCATACAATGACATCCCCGATGTCACTACATCACCCCCCCCCCCCCCCTTCGTAGCATCCAGCCGTACCGGCTGTCAACTCCCCCCACAACGAACAATAAGTGAAATGCAACGAGCAAAAAAACAGTGTGCCTCAACAGTAACAAGAACAGAAATAAATACCCCAACCCACCTGTACAAAAATTACACTATATACAAATGTATAAACCAACAGGGAGAAGGGTGGAAACCAACGAAACCATAATAACCACACCATCTTAACAACAATATAAAAGAACAGCGTGAACCACGGGATCCCCCATTAGCATCAGACCTCCCACCTTCATCGTGTAACGACGGACGCAAGCGCAATGGCGGCAAGGTTAAACCAATGACCGCCGCGGTTATACTTGTGCCTCAGAGCAAGAAGGACCTGAGTTTGATTCCTGACCTCGGCTGCCTTTCTGTATGAAATTTGTATGTTCTCCGCCTGTTCTGCATAGGTTTCTGCTGCGTTCTCCGGCATGGATATATGTCGAACTTCTTTCGCACCATACATAGCCAACCGTGCTAATTGGAGATGTGGTAACTGGTGTTGGCCAAACATCGCAATGTAGCAGGACGATCCTGAAAAAGTATTCGGACTTTGGCTTTACTGGGTAAATAAATAATTGTTATACTATTGCAGTGACACCGCTGGATGTCACCATGCTGCAAGTGCAGTACCGGCCCTAGAGGGCACGGTGTGTGTCGACCTGAAGGGAAGGTCAGGCCATGACAGCCTAGTTGACCCGGGAGGACACGTGACTGGTTAGAATGACAGAGGGGGCCCCCAAGAGGGGGCTGTGAGGGTCATGTGATGGAACCGAGGTTCTTCGTAGAGGTTCTGGAAAAGGGGCATGGCCAGGGGTGGAGTCGGCCACGCTGGAGAAAAATACAAGCCGAGTCCCGAGAGGGAGCTGGGCTGTCCGTCCCGGCGAAGAAACCCTTCGTCTATGATCTCCGATCTTCAAGTCCTAAAGCACGTGGACCCGGGCAGTCTGCTGTTGGTTTCGGTCAAGTTGATAGTTACCTTGTAACCTGTGTAGTTAGCCAGGGTGGTCACCACCCTCGGTTGTTGTCGTGTTAAGGGGAAAGTTACCCCGTTGTGTTGAAGTAATTAATGCGCTGCCTCCGAGTCTAAGTGTGCGATTCAGTTGAACCCACTACACTATTATGCATTGGCAGTAGTGCACAAGCATAAATAACACACTCACACTCATTAATAACACTGCCTTAAAAGGAATATATAAATATAAAATAGGTGACGTTTAGGGTAATGGCCTTTCTTCACGCCAAATACATTATGTGCAGTCTGAAATGTCTCCACTTGTATATCTTACTTTAAAGGCAATGTTTTATTGATTAATTTGTTGAGTTTAATGTTATTATTATATAATTATTACCTGTCGGAGCTCCAGAAGATCTTTAATTTCCTCTTCATATTTTTCTCCACATTCACCATAATGCTCTTCAATAAATGCCTGAAAATTACACAAATGTTAAAACCACACAATTTCGGAAAATATCAACAATAAAATAAACAAGAACATCTAAACAAAAAATTAAAATGAGAGGCCAGAGGTGACTGTCGCTGACATCACTAAAGCACACATTCACTTTGCTCCATCGGCCAGGTCATAGAACTCTTTTAGTCAACATCTCAAGATTTTACTTGATTTTTTTCTTTGATCGCAAAAAAAATAATTACTCATTGCAGGGCCTCTGTTTGTAATATTGAATATTTTTTTTTAAAATACCAGGTAAAGCCCATTGAGCTATTAGTTATTTTTCAGAAGCGACCTGGCCACAAATCATAGCTCAACGAAGTGGCTTATCACATGGAAATTTATTGCAGCCAAATACTCTGCAAGCATGTTTATAAATGTGGAGGGAAAAACCAGAGGACCCAGAGAAACATCCACGTGACCACGGGGGAACATGCAAACTCCAAAAATAATGGCATCAGGGTCGGGATCTAAACCATGACCTCCTGCATACCAGGTGAGGAAGATAATATTTCACCACCGCTGTGCCCCAACATGCCCTCCTTCATCTAGTATTAGGTATACATTCTGGTTTTATATTTCCAAGTTTCTCGTATCAAATATGCCAAGGAAAGCAATGTTCCCAAAGTAAAATGTGCATGTGCTATTTACACTCCACTGAAGGACACACCAATGGTCATATTGTCAGTTGCCCTATGACAAATTAAGTAGTAAAAGTGATAAGTAAGGTGCATTTTATCATTTGAATTTGTTCCCTGATCCATGTGTTTCTCTTTTGTCTCTTGGTGTACTTTCATGCGTGCATCTTTCTCTACTATTTTGTACAAATGTTTGATTTTGTTCTATTTATTTGTTAAGTGTCAATGTTTCTGATCCATATGTAGTGAGTCCAACTGAGTCGCAGACACTGTCTTGGGAGCAACACTTTATTACATCAACTCAACACAATATAACGTGACCTACACTCGGGTGTTAAACGCCCATCTAACCACGCTACGGCAGAACTAGACACGGTCCCGCTATCCTGGTCGGGACCACGAGTTGGGTCTCGGACCGCGTGGCTAGAGGCTTTTTCAACCCGACGTAGATCTTCACTAACCAACAGTCAAGAACCGAGAGCACCACACGGGGCCCCCGTTATATCAGCCTGGGCTGGGGCTGGCTCTGCCTCTCACCCCGCCCACCTTCTCGATCTCTCCAGCTCTTTCCCCAAGGCTCCCGAGAGCTCCGCCATACCACGTGCCCACCTAGCGGCCCCCCGTCCACCGGTGGCCCCCCACCAATATCATCTGGTCACATGTCGGCAGGTCACCCAGAGTATCATGCCCCAACGTAACCCTGGCTGGCTGACGCTCCCTCTCGCTCCCTCACCGGGAGCCCGCACCGCACACTGCTCGCAGTGCCTCTGCGCTGACCAGCGCTCACCCAAGCCCCGCTAGGGCTACTGCGCTCAGTAACCGGGCTACACATAATGGCAACATACTATCCGCCGTGGCCTCGCAGGCCCGGCACCACATAGTGACATACCCAGTCACTACACATACATCATAGCTGGCAATATGTAATAAATTACAACTAATTGACAACTTTCTTGATACACCTAGCATTTAAATATGTGATTTACCAATCACTAACCTCCTGTTTATTGCTATGATGCTCCTATTGCTTATGTCTTCAATCACTGTGTTGTGTTCTCCGATTTCTCATCTCATTCTACACATTATTTTACAGAGATCTTTATAATCTCATCTAATAATTTACACCTATCATATTTTTTATATTTTTCATCGTGTTTTTTTATGGTTTTAGAAAACTTCTGCTCTAATAAACGCAGTGGGCTCGCATGATATTGTTTTTTCCCGAGACCATGGCACTCCACAAACCTTCGGGCTACCATCAAAGATTTGTCCATGAAGCCATCCAGATATATAAACACAGAGACAATTTCAACCGAGAAGATGGGTATAAGCTGAGCAATCATTGGAAGAACGTTATTAACCAAGCAAAGTCGTAACTTGCTGTGGTGCTTCCATCCTACCTGCCGTTTGGCTGTTATCTCCGACTCTCTGAGTTGCATTGCCCTGTTGGGTGCCTCTGCATTAACAGACTGGGGTCTCACTAACATGGCCAACTCTGCTCCCTTAGTCTCGATGTATCGATGATTCTGGCTGTGTAATGGGCTGTGTGTCTCACTGGCGCGACCACCGTTGCGGTGGTTCTCTTGCGTTGACACGCTTGCCTCTCACAGCGCAGTTGGCAGCGCCGCAGCTTGTTACACATAGACATGACATTAACTTGCTAATCTCCCTAATCTCTCTCATCAACATAGTACTAATCTCCCATTAACACTGCTGTTGTGCGCATATGCGGGGACGTTACTCTTATGCTTGGACGGAAGCTCATTTCATGCTAATCTCTCTCCCCCAAATCTCCCCCATTATCACAATTGACGTGCTTGCGTCCAGGGATGAAATTCCTTTCCAGCTCATACCCCGCCTGCTTGCCCTTCGCCACATATATAACCTTGTTATAACAGCTCTCGCGCTGTGTTTCTTCCTGGTTCAGCAGTTCCATTGCTGGATTATTTTTTCTGCCTGAGGACGACCGCTTGTGTTGCGATCGAAACGTCGTAGACATCGTGCTGCGAGCAGCAGACATCGCGGCTGTCGAGATTTTCACCTGAAGACCATGGCTTGTGTTGATATGGAAACGTCGTGATTTATTTTGTTTTATTTCTACCTACGTGACTTACCGAAATAACCAAAGAGTATGGATTCCTGCAGTCACGAAAGCTTCAAATCAAGATATAATTTTTTATTTTATTTTTCTACCTACATGACTTTACCGAAAGAACCAAAGAGTATGGATTCCTGCAGTCACGAAAGCTTCAAATCAAGATTCTGCTCTGCAAGTTTATTTCCCCCCCAATGGACAATTATGATGCTATTAACGTCATTACCTACAGTAGTACCACCCATTTATAAGGTTTGTTTCTCTTAGGATTTGAATCTGTTGCAAAGATTCAGTTTAAATTCCCCCTACCTCAACAGTTTTTATTTTTTTACGTGAACTGTCATGTTTTTTTCTTACAAACGATCTTTGTCCTCTTTGCTATGAGATTGGTGTTGCAGGACAGTCAAATCAATATTTTATTTCTCAAGAGTTAAAAGTGAAAAAAATGCCACAAATGTAATGTGATGGTCATTGGTGACTGGACTGAAAACATCAACTCGTGAGACTTCAAAACCCAGTTTAATTGAGGGCAGCAATCCACATTCAAACCCTATTTAATAGCCTTAATGTTAGCTGAGAAACAAAACATTAAGTACTCTTGAAGCCTATAACTTTATGTGCAATTCCCAGTGAGACTAAGAATCCCATGGTTCATAAAAAAACGAACACTGTCTTTAAACATGTTTATTTACCCATGTTGACACAGCACACTGTATTTGTTGTGTAGAAGCAGTGGTGTTTTAACAGCTGTGCCCAAGATCCATTTGTTAGATTTTATTTTCTCCCAGGGTCGTATTTCAGGCTGACTCACCTAAGGCGATGCCGTGCTTTCACGTCACAGGTGCCAAAGGCAAAAGATGATCATAATCATAATTTACACGTCTAGAGTGCCGTACATTTCTAGTCGTGCAGCTTTGCCATATTTAATGACAAGTCGTACCTTGAAAGGTGTTAAGAAGTCAACTTCTTTAGTTTCCTTTAGGCCGAGCGGGATCAATGGGACGCTGATGCCTTCACTGTCAAGAAAAACACATGCTCACATTTATGTATTATTATGATTATGCTTGTTTATCCAGAAAAACCCGAGTTTCAATCATCTTTTTCTGTAGGGCCCTGCCAATTTTTTTAAATAGGGGGTGATGGTGCTGCTATGTTTAATCTCAAGTGAGTAATTTGCAGGTAATTTTTTAACATTGGGATGTTTGGCCAATACCAGTTACATTGTATTTTTTTCTTTCAGCTATGGTACACAACTGAGGAACCCGGAGGAAACCCATTATAGAACAGGGGAAGAACATATAAACTCCACACGGAAAGGTGCCCGAGTTTAGAATCGAACCCAAGCCCTTCTTTTTGTGAGGGACAATTACCACTGCACTACCCTGCCGCCAAATGTAACATCCTCAGAGTACTGTATAAAATGCTGAATTAATAATGATGACATTTCAGCAGTCACACTTATTTGACACAACACTCTCTTTCTATAAACAGTTTTACATTAACAATCATGCTCTTTGGAGATAAAATGGATACAATGTTACATAGTCACAGCAAAACAGCATGGCACATATCCACAGCAAACATACTCACAATGTATTACAACAGCAACAACACATCCAGCTGCTGTGAAGAGAATCACATTAATCAACTGAATACATGAAATCTACGTTGGACCGATGGCCCTAAATACAATTACAGTATTCTGATGCTTCGCAAGTCTATAAATATCATGTGCTCAGTGTTATCCAAAATTGAAACACAAATCCCCATAGTAACATAATTTAGACTTCTATGTGTATAATTTAAAATGTATAGCTCCTTTTGATCTGTCAGTCTGTCATGGGTGAACCTTGCTATATGCATACTCAGCAGATCCACGATTCTTCCCATTACCCACAGATTCCCCCTACAGATTCAAATTATTCATATATATGGTATATTTGATGGTGATAAAGAAATAGTTAAATTGTGACTGTAACAAGGATTCACGTTGCAATGCTGTACCCAATAAAAAACAATGTGATTTAGGGTCCTTGCAGGAGATGGCATGAGACATGGTGAGCAGTGCACCTGTCCATGTGGAATTTCTAGTGCTGTCCCTCTGTATTTGTGGGCTTTTCCTAGTTACCCCTGTGTTCTGTTGCATGAAAAGCCCTCTTTATTAAAAGAGTCATAACCAATCATCCCAATTCAGGACCGTCTGAAATCGAGTCTTGAGATATAGTGAGGCTTTCCTAAATAAACTATAGTATTATCTTAATAATTTAGGGAAAAAAAGTGGATAAGTACTGCTATAAACTATTAACTATTTTTTTTATTATACCAGGTAGGGCCCACTGAGCTATATAGCTATTTTTCAGAAGCGACATGGCCACAAATGATAGCTGAACGAAGTGGCTTATCATGTGGAAATGTATCAGACAAATACTTAAAACACACATTGTATCTAAATGTGGAGGGAAAAACCGAAGGACCCGGAGAAAAATCCATGCGACCACGGGGAGAACATGCAAACTCCAAATATACAGACGTCAGGATTGAGATCGAACCCACGCCTTCCTGCACACCGGGCGAGGGAGTTAGCATCTCGCCACCGCGGCGCTGGGATGGGCTGTGCCCTGCCAAAGTCCCTTTGGGCAACCAAAATTCACTCTCCTTAGCAGTACATCACTCTTATGGTGGCCCCCACACAACAGTTTTACTGCACCGCCCTCCCCATCTGAGAGGAGCTGGATGAAATGAAATACACTTGTTTCTGTGAGTGTTTTAAGGCTACTCTGCAGTTGGAGGTAGATGCCCTCCAGCAATAACGGAGGGCAGAGGAGCGACGCTCACAACGAGCGGAGCGCCGGGTGCTTAAAACACAGCAAGCTAGCACACAGTAGGGGGCACAGCTGGTGCGTCAGCCAGTCATGTTAGTCAATCCATGGCGCCTGGGTCTCTCCCGTGACCTCCTGCCAGCAGGTGTTTGACACTTTACGTGGATTTAAAGTGCACATAGCCTGGCACAAGCACCGTGGTGATGTCACCGCCACTTTGTGGCGAATGGCAATTATTGTTGTTGTTGGGCTAGGTGGAGCCGGCTGCCCGTCACTTGCCCACCTGTCGTTCTGGTAGATCTCCATGGAGCTGTTGAGCTCGGCCAGCTCCTCCTTGAGCAGCTGGAGTTTGGAGTTGACGAAGCTGAGCTCGATCGCAACCGTTTCCTTGACTTTGTTGTTGTTGGTCGCTCTGCCGTTACAAAATGTATTTCGTGGATTAATGAGCTCCCGTTGCAAAAAAAAAAAACAGTTACAGCCCGCTTACATGTGCGAGCTGATGCTGTTAGTTTTACATTTAACAAATGTCTTGAATTATTCATCACCAAAGTCGTACTGAGTTACATTGTAGTATACAAGTAACAATCCATTACACTATCGTACCTGTAATCCTGGCCTTGTACTCAATAAATGTTTAAACAGGCACGTGTCGCAAAACAATTCATGTGTAGCTCAGCATTCCATATGGGCACACAAATCATTCTCTAATGTTAAAATGTATTCATCACTGCCGGGTCTGTTTTTAGTAATCACTGTTTTCCAATGTTGTGCAAAACTTGTGAATGCCCAGATGTAGCTGGGTGGCTCTGGGCACCCACAATGCCCCTGTGTGGAAGCACTGAGCCGGCATCAGTGAGATGTTGAGGCAGATACCCGTGTGGTGAGTTTATGGTCTCAGCCCAGTTTTTGTGTTATGTTTTGGCTTAATTTGCCACTTTCCAGATGTGAGAAAAAACATTTCATACTGGAGTGCCAATAAGATGCTGATTGCAGTGCCATCACCCATAGCTCTCTATGATGTTAAGTTACAAGGTCATTCTCTGACATGTGATCTACCACTTGCTAATTTGTCTCATGAGATGAATACAATCATAGTTTCAAAACAACATGGAAAATAAACATTTCAACCTTCAATTCCCACATAAAACAGACATCTGTAAGAAAAAAAAAATCAAGAATCTCCCTGTTACACACACTTGCAGGAATGATCCTGGAGTGCCTCAGCTGATGTGCTGCGAACTGCGACCCTCTCATCGATATGCTCAGTGGCATCGTATTGCACTGCAGCCTGGTCTGGGAGCTCATACACAAAAACGGCTAGATGCACAATTGAATAACACGATGCACATTATAACCAAAACATTACATCGAATGGCTTCCTGTTCTGGCAAAAATTCTGCCACCAAATATCCAGAGATATACAAACTGCAAGGGTATTTACACGTTTTCTTGCAAACGACAACCGACCCACTAACCAAGACCTCAACAATGTATTTCACCGCCAACTCAAATCCCGATCCCCCTTCTGGGATCACGCTGCTGTCACCATCCTAGAATCTCACCCATATCCAGAAGAATGCTGGAGAACACAGTAGAATAATGCGGACGTCCAGAATAACCATCTCATTCGAGACCCCAGACATCGAACATCCTGGCTTTGATATTCCTCGAAGACACTGGTGTAACCATCAACCGCAGCAAAACATCAAAAGGCTGATGTGTACATCTCTATCATGATTGAATATTTAAAGACAAGCCAGAGTGCGACTGTGGCTGTGCAACTCAAACTATGGACCAAACAGTAAACCACTGTAGTCTGCACTTCTTCAAGGAAGGAATAGCAAAACTACACAAACTCTCATGTATGTATGTTGAACTTCTTTTGCACCGTACGTAGCCAACCGTGCTAATCGGATGTATGGGGGAAGGGCAACAAACTAAACACAAAAAGCAGCTCGAAAGAAATGAGTTTTCAATCTCGATTTAAAAGTGCATAGTTCCTAGTGGCTAATATCGGAAGAAAGAGTGTTCCAGACGGCCTCAGAAGTGCATCTGAAAGCGCACGATGCAGTTACCATTTTCTGAAGCCCTTTAGCTCCTGAACATATTACCAGATGCAAAATAGAATCGGGTCTGTTTAATTTGTTCCAGGCCACAAAACCTAGCGAGCTGGAAATGTGTATTTAAAACAAGTGACTATCATAAGCAGGTTGACTCAGAGAAGCACTTCAAAAGAAGTGAAAAAGAATGAAGGGCTCCCTGAGAATATAAGCCCTGTGAGAGCTTCTGTTGTAATACAGAATCATGAGTGAGTCATGAAGCTCGGTGTTTGTTTCCCAAGGCAGGTCAAAGCTTTTGCCGATGGGGCATTTTGCAGCACTCCCTATTGATCGTACACATGTGGGAGTGTGATTAACTATGCCACCACTTGCAACTCTTGCAATGGCAAGTAATAACGAGCAATTCTTTGACTTCACTCTGCACTCGGTAAACATTTATGGGTCTCTGTGATGTTAGACAACACCAGCCTTGTGGCCACTCTTAATTAAAATATAAACTCAGTGACTACCAAACTTAATTCAGACTGCACCTCGGATTAGCATGGTTGGCTATGTACGATGCAAAATAAGTTCAACATATTACTGCTATTACTATTTTTATTTTATCAGGTAAGGCCCACTGAAACGACCTGGACACAAATGATAGCTCAAAGTGGCTTATCATGTGGAAATTTATAGGAGCCAATTACTCTAAACGTATATTTCTAAATGTAGAGGGAAAAACCGGAGGACCCAGAGAAAAATACACATGACCACAGGGAGAAACTCCAAATATATAGGCGCCAGGGTCGGGATCAAACCTAGGCCCTCCTGTATACTAGGTGAGGTAGTTAACATCTCGCCACCCTGTAATCTACATACATACCTACCAGCACCATGACCACCGACAACAACACCACCGTGATCGCGAACACCAGTCTGGACTCCTGACCAAGATTAGTAATGTAACCGTCCCATTAAAAGTCAGATGACATGGTTTTACCAAGATTCATGGATTTCATATGGATAATATCAATATTGATAAATGTGGTCGGATGATATTCTAAACTCTACAAGAAATACACTGACAAGGCTTTCTTTGAATAAGTGACTTGGTTCTTGTCAACAGACATTTTTTCAGGTTGTAGTGACTGATAATTATAAAGTGTCATCATGGGAATCTTGGAGTCTATTTGATGTCTGCTTGTGATTTGAATGTTTGTGATGAAGATTAACGTTGTAGCAAAGGAATTAATCATATCCCGAGTAGAAAATAACAAGTTAATGATTCTTTATTTTATTTGTGACCAGTTTTTTCTCTTTTCCACAATGAAAACATGTAAGCAAGCTGTTTTTCATTCTCTCTCTATACAGAACATTTCTTCTGCATTCATTTACTTAAACGGCTTTTCTCCATACAGTTATCTGCAGAGCAAATAGTGCGGACGTGGAACGCCTTTCACAATTGGCTAGTGTGCTCTGGGAGCATATTGTCTTGCACACAAAGCCTATGCTGCCCGTCATTCAGTGGGGGTTCACAAAAGTGGCTGTGGGAGAAATCTTTATACAAAAAATTAAACAAAGAGTTTGTGAAGGCTCCTGGCTGGGTCCCAGGCACTGCGTCACCCTCCACCGCGCCACCTCCATCGTGCATTGGCTGCGGAACGTTTAAATGGGCTGGGCACGGCTTGCCCACTGGATCCCACCCATGGGCACCAAGTGGGCGAACAGAAACGGCCCCACTGCTCAATTCGTTGGGTAAAAAGGGTGGGCTCGTCCATTCAATAACTTTGCATGTAGGGAAAACCATATTACACCAACAAAACGTATGGATAGATGGCGTTAACAGCCAAAACCCCATACAGGCAGACCAGAAACCTATTACTGTACTCCTCTCAACCTTGCAGCACCGTTTGCTGGGCAACTCACGCAGATGATATTCCCCAAAAAGTATGAAAGTATGAGTGTGCACCACCTTGTGCGGTGGAGGGCTCAGGACTATGCATGGATTCGCGATGCTGCGGTTACAGGAGTTCTCATCAGTAGGCTCGTATCTCCCACAGACACAGAGGGGGTCACAGTGACCCCCTTACACACTTGAGACACAACGCTTTTTATTTATTTACTCAACGTTAGGGGAACCCAGTAACGTGACACGTCATGTGAAACACACACCGCTGGAAAGCTTCACTATTTCTTGCTCGTGCCACTTCTGACCACTGTAAGGGCCTCCATACAGGGTGCTCTATACAGCCCCTCTGCTAAAGGCTCAAAAGATCTCCTCTATTGGGTATTTGGCCTACTCTTCCACAATGGCCAGAAGTCTTGGAAGAGGTGGGAGTATCCATACTTTACCCCACAACACACAACACTATAAGTATACAAATAATAAATAGTATTATTCAGCTATTTGTCAATCCAAGGCTGGATAAGGCTGCCCTATGGCAAGTTTGTGTGCAAGACAACATATTTGGCCATGCTGGTCAGTGTGGGTTGGTGAAAAAGGGTTACGATAAGGAATAAGGGTTTGCATTCATTGGGTGTTGAAATGCCCCAGGATCTCAAGAGATGTACGTCAGATCTCATATCAATGATTGCAAGGCTCTGCTGTAATGTTTTTGTTGTCTAGGGGACTTCCTGATGATGGCTGTCGGTGAGGCACAAGGGAACGCCAGTGGGCATTAGTCTGGCAGTATGGGAGGGGATCTTGCTTTGTGACTTTCTCAATTAAGTACTCTTATCTGTGACCTGGAATTGAACTCGACGGGTTCAAAGCGCAGTATACCACGGGCAGCTCCTTTTATCCGCTAAGTCCCACTGTTAGTGGTGGGTACTGGACATACGGAGAATAATCGTTTATACAGCATGGAGAAGTGACACCTCATGCTGGAGGATTAATGAAATGGCACCCAAAATAAAACAAATGTTGCCACATTCTGGGGATGTTTTTCCCATAAATTTAGCCTCAACTGCCCATTAAGAATTCAACATGTTTATTTGCATCACACCATGAATCTAGACACAATAGGGATATAAATGGCTATACAATCTTCATATATATCACAGTGAAGTCCTCATCCACATCTGTGCAATGTAGCATATAATGTATCTAGGTTAAAACTGTTAACATGGGAGAATTGACCTGTTATCAAGTGAAATTGCTTGGGCAGCATGAGGATCTGTCCGTCTAATCTCATCTGTTGAGATCCACAAGTGAGACGTGGCAAATGCTAACAGCCTTCCTGTAGTCCGCAAAACACTGGATCAGAGTAATCCAAAGTTAATGCCATCTCAAAGCACACACAATGCACATCAGCCAGTCCAACACACGTTTATATGCCATGAAACTCCTTCCCAGAAAAAAAATAAGCTTATCCTGTTTCCATCATCACAGCTATAACCACGTATTTATAAGTAGATGACACATTGTAATAAACAGAGTACTTTATGCCTAGTAATCTACCTTTCTAGTACCATCCTTCAAATTATTATTAACCATCTGTTCATAAAATACTGAAGAAGGATTTAGATCTTAATTAAGGAATAGAGAGATTATTAAGAGCACGATAGAGTACATTTGGGAGAATACATTTTTTGTAATACTCAGAATACCAATGTGCAGGAAGAATAAAGTTTTCAGTGCATATCAATTGCTATGAAGTATGGATCAGAAATGTGGACACTGATTAAGATAATTGAATGAATGCTGAAATGTGGAAAATAAGTATTGCAGCAATGCATGCACAGAATTAAACCGAGAGACAGAAAGACAAATATATGGATCAAGAAACAAACGCAATTCAGAAACATCATACTGTTAAGGATAATAAGTAGGATTATGCAAAACACATCACAATAAGGATTGACGGCCAATGAATAGGACTGGTGATGGAATGGTCGCCAAAGGAGAAAACGCGTCCAATAGGACAACTGCCCGAAATAAATAGTGATAAGATCAGATCATGTACAGGAGCGACATGGATAACAATATCACAAGACCACGGGGGGGTGGTGTCGGCATGAGGATGCCTTCACAAGGACATGAATAGATCATGGCAGATGATTAATTAACTTTTTATACCCACTTAGTCTTTGACATTTGTATGTACCAACTGTACTCAAGACGTGGAATGTGACCGTGAAAAAAGCATGAGAAGATCGGTGAGCCACGAGTAAAATAAGAGAAAAAGGGAATCACCTAAACCATCTCATAGCAATAACTGACGGCTGTCAAACATATCCTGCACAAATCATGAATCGGACAACTAAATGATGCACTTGCTGCGCATCTAGATGCGCTCACGTGCAAGCTGTCCTGTACACACTCACACCCTCGTGCACAAGCAAGTGCGCAACAGTACCACGTGGACGAATTTGCTGAGTGAAGTGTGCCGCTGTGTCCTCAAACACCACCGTGTAGGAAAATGCATTCGTACGACACTGTGCTTAACCCCAAAAGAGGCGCACGGAATTTGGCTATAGATCTCTTCCTCCATGACCTAAAATCTCCTCCATATAACAAAGACTTGCAAAAATGTGTGGATTTAAAATAAACCATTAGTACCACTTCTTCAGTGCATCATACAACATTTTTAGCAGTCTCACTTTCAAAAGACTGCGACATATAACCAACATTCATACAAAACACATAAACGAGCCAATATGCCAGAAATCACACAGATGGTCAATGTGAATGGATGCTAATTAGCAGACGTGTGTAGCAGGAACTGGATTCAGCTCGCAGTAAAAAGGCTTCAGTTTTGCTTGATTAAATAAATTGTTAATCATCCCGAGAAAACCTGTAAGACCTTGCAAGCTCCACCAGTGCATGCACAAACACAGCAAAGCGACTAATCCGAGCAAGAGTCAAGAAACCTGGCAAATGTCTCCAGGATTAACTATTAACATGAACTCAACATGCTACTTCAGACCATGTTTGTGCTCTGCACTGTGAAACAGTGGCCTCCCTACATTCACTCGGCATCCATTACAACGAAACTGGCACAAAACAAAGGCTTGATGAGCCAGGGTATCCGGTGCGATCCCTGTTTCGTTGTCTCGTTACGTAACGTGAAATAGGCTTTAATGCCTCTGCTTGTGAGAGTTCTCCGCACGCACCGTAAGAGGTTCTCGGCGCCAGCTCGGAGCCTCATCTCCTTGTTGATCTGCTGGTTGAGCTTGGCTCGCCGAGTTTGCAACTTGCTGCGCTGCGTCTGAGCAAAGGGATCACATCCCTACACGCAACACACAAAATACGACATTGAGCAAATAGCAAACAAAACAACTTACAATTAGTTTTTAACACTGCCACTGTAGTCCAGAACCAGTGCTAGGATTGAACTGAACGAAGCTAAAAACTTTTTATTTACCAGGTACGACCCACTGAGATATGTAGATTTTTCAGAAGCGACCTGGTCACAAATGACAGCTCAACTAAGTGGCTTATCACGTGAATTTTTTTAGCAGCCAAATACTCTAAATACATGTTTCAACATGTGGAAGGGAAAAACCGGAGGACTCGGAGAAAAATCCACGTGGGGAGAATATACAACAGGCATCAGGGTCGGGATTGAACCCACGCGCTCCTGCACACTAGGAGAGGGAGTTAGCATCTTGCCACTGCGGTGCTGGGATGGGATGTGCCCTGCCAAAGTCCCTTTGGGTAACCCAAGTTCACTCTCCTTAGCAGTACATCACTATTATGGTGGTACCCACACAAGAGTTCTACTTGCCCCCTCCCATCTCAGACCAGCTGGAGACGGGCCTGCTGTATGTTTGAGACTTAATTACGATGTTGTTTTCAAAAGCTATTAAGATATTTCAGGTAGCAGGTAATTTGCGAAACAGTGAAGATAGTTAGCGTTCGGGCCATTTAGGATTGTACAACTGCTGTGGATATTCAAGAATAAGGTATCACACAAATATATGATTGGTGGAAATTGCTCTAAAAGTGTCAGTTTTATGTTAATTAGTACAGTGCGAGGTCGTAGGAACACAACAACAATGTGGTTGAACCTTTTGGATTCAGAGAAATTACAGACAGGACTCTTGTATTGCTGTCAAATTGACCGTCTTAACACTTAATAACATTGAATAACTATAGATTTACAATTTAATATTGACAAATTATGACCAAAACATTCACTACTCTGCCGTTTAATCCAAACCGCTTACCACCATCATGAAGCAGAGGATGAAGACCAAGGCTCACGAAATATGGAAGGCTGAATAAATATTCCGATGAGTATGAAGCATGTATTTGTTATATGTAACAAAATCAAAATGAAACATCGAGTGTGAAAGCTCTAACAGAGCCCGTGACGTCCAAGGGAATGTATTCACTGAATTATTTACAGAGAAGTAAACAAGTTATGCTTGTATACTATACTTTGCATATGGTATTTATAATTAGTAGCGCAAACACGGACACCATCTCCTTGAGTGTGCAGATTAATGTATGCGGTAACAGTGTTAGGGGTGGAATCCATTGGTTTAAAAAAAACATATTTTATTTAGTTCGAAAAGCCTTCCGGCTTTTCTAAATCCAGCTTTGAGAGGTTTTAATGTACTATATAGAGATAAGCACACATACGCCCACAAACTTGAATGCAGATTTAGTAAGATGATAACTCAGAAATCATAAAGGCATCATATAAATGTGGAGTGATATTGCGGACGTCACTGTGTAATGCCAGCCCTAGAGGCATGGCGTGCGATGCACTCACATCGCGGACATCACGTATATTGGGACATCGTGGATGTCACTGTGTAATGCCGGCCCTAGTGATGCACAGCGTGCGATGTATTGACATCGCGGACACCCCGTATATGTGGGTGTAGCACCGGCCCTGGAGGGGCTCGGTGAGCGCTGATGGATAGCGCTGAGTGGCACCACGCAAGGCGTGCAGTGCCGACCCCTACAGGATGGGGTGTGAGAGTGTCAGCCATGGAATAGGGTTACTATAGGCTGTGGTACTCTGGTTGACCCCCAGAGGGCAAGTGACTGGTAAAGTCTACACAGGGCACCCCAAGTGGGGGCGAAGGGTGGTCACATGTCGGGTGGAGATCCTGCTAGAGGATTTGAGGTGGTCGTGGCCGAGGGTGGAGCCAGCCACGACCAGTGAGGCTATAAGCCGGGTCCCCAGAGGGACCGGGGTTCAGCGTTGGTGTTGTCATCCTGAAGAATCTACCTTCGACGTCCGAGAAGAGTCACCAACACGTGGACCTGGACCCAAGCTGGGGTCCTGTACGTTGCAGCTACTCCCAGTATAATTAGGGTAGTTAGCCTGGTGGTCCACCACCATAGGTTAACTGGTGAAGGGGCAGTTACACATTCTTAGGTTTTTTCGGTAAAGTCACGTAGGTAAAAAATTAAAATTAATAAAAGTAAAATAAAAAATAAAATAAAAATCACGACGTTTCGGAGGTAACACAAGCTTCCGTCTTCAGGTGGAACCGTCACAGCACGAAGGCAGATGACTTGATACAGCTGTCGTGCTGTAACGGTTCCACCTGAAGACGGAAGCTTGTGTTGCCTCAGAAACGTCGTGATTTTCATTTTTATTTTATTTTTTATTTTACTTTTATAAATTTTAATTAAAATTTTTACCTACGTGACTTTACCGAAAAAACCTAAGAATATGAATCCTTGCAGTCACGAAAGATTCAAATCTAGGGCAGTTACACCTTTGTGTTGGTATCAATAAATGTGTTGCCTCCAAAAAGTGTGTCTGCGACTCAGTTGAACTCACTACAAATGTAATACAAGTCTCTAAAAGGCTACATGCTTGGGGGGAAACAGAATAATTGGTCTTGGGGCAGCTATGTTGAGGCATTCGGCCAGAATGTGTGTTTTCACCGTGTCTCCAGTTTGTCTGCAGGAATGGGCCAATGAGAAGACCAAGTTTGAAGTTTTATGGTTACAATTATTAATTAAAGTGACTAAGGCGTAAAGACACGTGATTGTTTGATTGGGAGTGTATGATTTGATTCCAAGAACACTTTGGGGCCCAGCTGGGGTCTTTCCTCTTCATCCAGAGCCACTGACTGCTGCCTTCTGCCGCCTCCGATACAGCTCTGATTGCCGAACGCTGGCTCTGGCCCTTAATTCCCAGGTCTCTAAGTAGTCTGGTTGTAGATGTTGCCACAAAACCTCTGCAGCCCACCTCCACTGGTCGGACTTCTGTGTTCCAGCCATGATGCCGTGCTTCGGCAGCTAGATCGGCATAGCGCAGATGTTTTCGCTCATAAGCCTCATCTACTGAGTCCGCCCAGGGTACTGGGAGCTCAATGATGAAGACCTTCTTGAGCGAACAGGACTAGAGCACCATGTCAGGTCTTAGGGTGGTGGTTGCGATCTCCGGAGGAAACACAAGTTGCCGGCCAATATCAGCTAGCATTTTCCAGTCGCGGGCCAAGCGCAGCTGGTCTCGCTCTAATGGTGTAGAGCCGCTCTTCGGTGGTTTAGCCCCTTCGCGGACAAAGGTCGTCCGTAAGGGGTATGATGCTGCTGGGGGTGGTAGGGAGTTGGTGGCAGCTCACTTGTCCTCCAGGGCAGACGCAAGGTTTTTAAGGACTTGGTTGTGACGCCAAGTGTATCGTCCTTGGGTGAGGCTTGTTTTACACCCTGTGAGAATGTGCCTGAGGTTGGCTGGCATGGAACAGAGGGCACAATCTGGATCTTCACCATACCATTGAAGATTAACTGGTGTTGGAAGGACGTCATATGTTGCTCTGATGGAAAAGCTCAACCGCCTCGCTTCCATGGCCCACAGATCCTTCCAGCTGATCTTCCTCTTCTCCACACTGTCCCATCGAGTCCACTGTCCCTGTTTGGCAAGAGAGACTGCCTTGGCCCACCTTGCAGCCTCCTCCTGATGGCGTACTTCCTGCACTACCATCTTCCGCCGCTTTGGTGCAGTGGCCTTACTCCAAGCAGCACGGCTAGTTAGCCCAATGCCTCCTCTCCCTTGATGAACATGACCCACAATGTCAGCATGTCTGAGGGCTGCTGTTGCCTCCTGGACTGCTTTTCCTGGCCTCCATTTGCGCCCAGTTGCCAAGGTCGGCGCGTTGTTGCTCACCACTGGGTCTCGAGATTCATTCAGTGTCATCTGGAGCCTGGTTTTTGCACACTTGAATTCCTCTGTTAGACTGGTGAGGGGCAGCTTGAGGACACCATCTCCATAGAGGCCTATGGTGGTAAGGCATCGTGGAACTCCGAGCCACTTCTTTAAGTAGCTCGTGACTCCTCTTTCCATCTTCTCCACTGTTGAGATTGGAACCTCATACACTGCTAGGGGCCACAACACCCGGGGTAGGAGACCAAACTGCAGACACCAGGCCTTTAACTTTCCAGGTAGCTGGGTGTTGTCGATGGACTGTAGGCTACTACTGATGTCTTTGCGCAGCTGTTGCACCTGGTCTTTGTCCTTCAGGCTTGCATTATACCACCTTCCAAGGCTTTTTACCGGCTGCTCAGACACTGTTGGGATTTGGTCATCTCCGATGAAGAATTTCAGGTCACAGAGTACTCCCTTCACAATCGAGATGCTGCGTGACTTGGATGGTTTAATCTTCATATGGGCCCAGCTGATGTTCTCCTATGAATAATAGTGTTTAATAAATAAACCAAAACATTACGTTTGCCAATTTAAGTCTTTTGTGACCAATGTTGACATTTTTGTGATAAGCTTGGACTGTTTTGGGATGGACAAGAGCGCAAATGAGATATTTGGTCATAAAAACATCAAGTGACAGTTTGAACTGAGAGTTTAGTATGGCTCATTTTTGGTTGGGGTGACAATTGTCCACAATTATGTTCCCAAGTATTTTTAAAAACGAAAGTGACGCTAATATATGTGGGAAAGACCTATGGTCAGACCTGGGAGGCCATCCAGCTAGAAGCTTGGGAGGTTTCATGCCAAGGAGGAAGAGACAAAGAGGTGACTGCTGTGGTGTTGTAGAGTGGAATGAGAAGAACATAACATTGGGCTGGGACACACATTGGAAGAAACCATGATGCGAATCACAATGTAAGAGCTTTACAACATCTCACACGTGAATAGCATTGTCAATGGTTAATGACATACAGTTCAGGTTTCTCCATTGTTGTGGAAATCGCTGGTTTGTAACACTGCAAAAGTTCAACTTACCACTTGCTTTCAAAGGAAGACCAAAGATCGAAATGTCATCATAGCCAAACACCTTTGATACCAGCACTCCTCACAAACGCTTTCTACCCCATGGCAGATTCAGCAGCTGCTGAACAGTAGACATGCAACCTCCAAGATGAAGACATAACCCAAAAAAACAAGCAGCTCTTATTTCTACACACACACTTAGGCTATGGGCTTGTCCTATGCAGGTTTTAAATTTCATTAACGATTAAAAAATATATATGAAGAGTGCCATAATGATGTTTTTGACCGTAACTTTGAAGGCTTTATTTCATTTAAAAAAATGTTTCAAACGATTGTCAGACATCCGTGTACAAAATAAGGGACGCTTTTGTTGTTGCACATTCCCGTAACATCGCCAGTAAAGGCTTTGCCATACAAAAAGGACGAGGCAGTCATTATGAATGTGCCGAGACATGAAAATAAAAGCTAATTAATTAAATATAGAATGTTTGAACTATCAAAAATAAGAAAAATTATGAATGCAGTTATTGGATTTCAAAAGCCCCAGCACCTCCGAATTCGCACAGTTGGCTACATAAGGTGTGAAAGAAGTTCAACATACATACAATAGCCATACAATATTTGGGAAGATAATATTACTCAGGCAGAACTCTGAACGTCTGTAATTTACTGGAGAAGGTATGACAGGGAAGAAAGTCTGGGCTGTGGTCACACTCAAGTTGGGTGTGCCTCCTTGTGACATTTGTTGCGCTTCATGATATGTATGACGCAGTACAGGGACTGCATATGATGCAGAAAAGAGACTGCTTGTGTCAGATTTAATAAAAACAAGGACTAGGTTTGCCCTATCACATTGTCGTCTAAGCACAAGGCTGTGTGCTGCTTATTTATTTCCACCGATCTCGGTAGGCTGTGTGCACAGCGGGCAGTTTTGGCGCTTCCTGGCATGGGATTCGGACACTGTATTGTGCCACACATGCTACTTAAATGAGTTCAATGACTCCCTCAAGTTTTCCATGTAGTGGATCAGCAAACATTTTCAGTATTAACTTAACCTCCTCCATGAAGATGCGTGGGTGTGGGATGTTGAAGTGGCCCTCCCACGTGTGATTTAATCATTGTGGTGCCTTTCACCAATAACAAAATCGTGATGACCGATTTGGTTTAAGTGGGACACATGCCATATGACATGGTAAATACAATACATGTGACAGTGAGGGTTTCCTCTCGTCTGATTTGTTGTGGGTCGAAAAAGTGAAAGTGAACAAGCCCCTGTTCTTATGTAATATTGCTCAATCCTGGCTAATATTGCCCATGTTGAATTGCAATTATATTTAACGAGGGCAAACTGTACGACTTGTCATGACAAAAGGCATGAGGATGCCATTCATAAATGTTAAAATATTACAACAGCCACAATTAACTTAAACATTTTCATGCAGTTTTTTAAGTATGTTACTAAATGGTGAATCAATGATATAAAAGAATGTGGAATGCCTAAGCAACTATAATCTGCTCAATGCGAGTGACCCTGCCAAGTACAGGGTCATCTATCCATGTCACTTGATGTGATCCTACCACACCTGGTTACCCTATGTATAAACTGGCCTTGCCATGGAAATGTCAATTTTTTTGTGCTTCTCCATTGCTCTTCATATGAAGACAATTTGATTGCCTAATTTGCCCACTTCCTGCTCAACCAATTTAGACTTGTCTCTAAAATGCCTCACTCCCGACTCGACCACCCAGTGGCCTATGCCCTGGCCTGTCTGCTGTGGCCTAGGTCCGGCTGCCTGTTCCATTTTGTATTGTTAGGCAAATCCTGCTCAGCCACTTACTGTTGTCAGCACTTCACAGCTGACCCTGCCTGTTTCAGCCCCTCCGTGATCTGAGTTGCAACGTGGACAACCCCACGGCCGACTAGGCCACAAACTGCAACCCCCAATACCTGACTGGCTGCTGGTCATAACCTGGGACAAAGACCCCCCCCCCCCACTCACCGAGCTCTGCAGGAATGCGCTATCACTTCCAGACAGCTCCATCACACACTCTGCTGCCGACAACAGCCCTCAATTCCTGCCTTACCACCAGTTGCAATCACACTATGCTATGACATATAATTGTCACAATTGTATATACCACAAACATTTTTTTGTCATACTACATCAATAAACAATGACATCATGTATTTATATGGCTGAAGCTCTTTTATAACGTGTTTGTTGTAAACCTGCAATATTTTGTGCACATCTTGAGAAGATGTTCTAACCTCAAAATGTACAATGACAATTACTTTTACCTTGAACGGACACAATTATATAATTTTGAAATGTGTTAAAGTACTGTATGCAACATTTTTGCATTGTAAGCTTTGGCCTTTTGCAAATCACTATTTAATGTCGCAACATAGGTAAAAATATACCAATTTTTTTTCGGAGGTGTGACGAAGTCAGTCGCAGGCGTGCCTAACTGCCCTAACATGTACAACATAAATAAAGTTTTCAATTTCCCTACCAGCCAGCTGACACACCCTGGAGAGGAGTCTGGAAATATGCACCTGTGCCCATTTCAACATGGATATTGGCTGCGTTTGCACAATTAGGTTTAAAAAAAGCAACAAAAAAGTTATTAAACTGACAATACTCAGGGCTGCGCACATCAATTTCCCAGTACAATGAGATATTTTTTCTCAATATATATTCAACATATTTGTAATGCTTTAACAGTGTTTTAGCTAGATGAAAAGATTTGTGATTTATTCCATACAACAGAAAAGTTTTTGTAGTAGTTGTACCACGGTTTGTGTTAGAGGCACTTTTAACCTGACAGTAGTTTTTAGAAGTGTGTTCCAACAGTGGTTTACTGTTTGTTAGCTCAATAAAAATAGAACACCACTCCAAGATAACATTGTGACGACGGATCAACGTTGAACAATGCTTTATCTCATCACCACTGGTCCACACAGTCATTAACTGGGCATTGGCTTCACAGCAGGGTGCACGGGGTTCTATCCTTGGTTGTCGAGTGAAAGGTGAATACATCCTTCAATACCATTCATAAGTGTGATGATTAAATCGAAATTCAATAAATCAATAGCTCGGATGACGATTTGAAAATATTGCAATTCAGCCATCCATCAATAGGGAAGTAAATGACATTCATTCACTCCTTTACATGCTCCTTCAAAAGCACAATTGTGCTTTTGGTGGATAGTTCATTCTAGTTCAACTTTTGGTTCTTGCTTTAGAATCGGTATGCCTGTCAACTCTCAATAGCCCAACTGTAGCAGTCTCAAAATAAATACGCAGCCAATACGCCTACTTCCCATGTCTTTCCCTCCACAATTTCAGAAGCACTGCATGTATGTTGAAACTATTTCGCACGGTACGTAGCCGTGCTCATGGGAGGTGCGATTAGCAACCACTGGTTCAACACAAGCAAAACTCTGCAACGATTTCGATATGTGGGACCCAGTACACAAGAGGCAAAAAGGACCCTTGGGGGGCACAAAGCCTCAGATATACAAACATGTAGAGGACACACTTAGAGAAGCAGAGGGCCAGATACAACAGAGAGGCAGCCCGATAGCTGTGGGGTTCCCCACTGCACTTGTTACACACGCTTGGAGACGGCACGATGAACGTGTACTGCGCTAATGACTCTGGGCCCCGGGGTCGTGCGGGGTTGAGGCGGTGTCTACCACTGCTGCTGCAAGCAGAAACTCGTGCTGGCTGGCTGGCCAGGCAAGGGCCAATATCTCGCCGTGATTGTGGCCCAAGACGAGGCGTAAGAGACGGGGGGAGGACGGAGCGCCATCTCGCACCTCCATCCTCCTAGTAACCTCACTCATCCTCCAATCTATCGTGGCGGAGACATTGCCCCCAAATGTGGGCGCCTTCGCCGCCGCTTGTTGAAGAGGATCACGGTTGGAATCCCACAGCTGCCCCGGTTATCACTGCGGGTATATAAAGCACAGCAACACGCGCTTTCTGCTTTCACGGTGGACGTTTAAAAAAGGGTCCCTGACATCATTCGCAAGAGTGGGCCAGTTAGTTCCGGCGTCAATGTTCAATACTGTATACCAAATTAGAAAAATGCTCCCAAATTACGATCAAACATAGCAATCGCCGCCCTACCCCCCACCCCCTTATTGTATGGACTGCATGTTTAACTTCTTTCGCACATTACGTAGCCAACCATGCGAATCGGAGCTGTGAACATTTTGGCAGGACCTTCCTGCACAAAAAAGGAGTAAACGAGCGCAAAGATCAACAGCATCCACCCTCAACTCCACCTCGCATCTCTCCACCGCCACCACCGCCGCAGAGGGACAGAGATGGGAGGTTGCCTGGCAACAGGTGGGGGGCAGTGGGGGGCAGCGAGGCGCCCCCCCCACATCGCCACCATCGCCCTCGGAGTAGACGGCCCCCGCTCAGGGCACACGCCGACACGGTGCGGACACACGGGGGGACAGGGAGATCGCGCACCTTTCGGAAGCTGCCCTCGCACTCCGGAGCGTCCCCGTCCGACATCGCGGGTTCCCGAGAAGCGACGAGACGCGGGTGGGGGGAGGGGGTGAAGGGTGGTGACTCTGCCCCCCCCACCCCACCACGGCCCCGCCCCTCGCTCAGCGTGGCCCCGCCCTTATCCGGGACACGGCCCCGCCCCTCGCGGCGCGTCACCGCCTCGCGTCGGTCACGATTCATGGGTTCGCGATTAAATCGACTTGTTTTTATTCAATCGATTACATTCCTTAAGATTAAATTACGATTCGTAGAGACTGCGCTAACTTGCCGAGCATTGTTTTTTTGCAATCGATGGCGAGCCCCGAGAAGTTCTCTTTAATGTGGGCCACAGAAAGCGAAAGAGCCAATTCACGTTAATAATCACGACCACTAATGGAATCGCGTCCCACCGAGAATCGTGAATCGTGACATCCTGCACAGCCCGCACCGGCACCGCCCCTCACCTGGGCAGAGCTCGCGCAGAGCCCCGCCCACTACCCCCCCCCCCCCCGGCCGTGCCCCCCCCCCTCTGCCCCCACCGATGCGGCTCAGAGCGGATGACGCAGCTCGCAGTTGGTGGTGGTTGGGGGGCAGCGGTGGTGGTGGGGGAGGAGGGAGCGGTGGTAGTGGTGGAGGAGGAGGTGGTGGAGGAGGAGGAGAGAGCGGTGGTGGTGGTTGGGGGGCAGCGGTGGTGGGGGGGAGCGGCGGTGGTGGTGGAGGGAGCGGTGGTGGTGAAGGAGGAAGGAGGGAGCGGTGGTGGTGGAGGAGGGAGCGATGGTGGTGGAGGAGGAAGGAGGGAGTGGTGGTGGAGGAGGAGGAGGAAGGAGGGAGCGGTGGTGGTGGAGGAGGGAGCGGTGGTGGTGGTGGAGGAGGAAGGAGTGGTGGTGGAGGAGGAAGGAGGGAGTGGTGGTGGAGGAGGAGGAGGAAGGAGGGAGCGGTGGTGGTGGAGGAGGGAGCGGTGGTGGTGGTGGAGGAGGAAGGAGTGGTGGTGGAGGAGGAAGGAGGGAGTGGTGGTGGAGGAGGAGGAGGAAGGAGGGAGTGGTGGTGGTGGAGGAGGAAGGAGGTGGTGGTGGAGGAGGGAGCGGTGGTGGTGGTGGAGGAGGAAGGAGTGGTGGTGGAGGAGGAAGGAGGGAGTGGTGGTGGAGGAGGAGGAGGAAGGAGGGAGTGGTGGTGGTGGAGGAGGAAGGAGGGAGCGGTGGTGGTGGAGGAGGGAGCGGTGGTGGTGGTGGTGGAGCAGGAAGGAGTGGTGGTGGAGGAGGAAGGAGGGAGTGGTGGTGGAGGAGGAGGAGGAGGAGGAAGGAGGGAGTGGTGGTGGTGGAGGAGGAGGAGGAAGGAGGGAGCGGTGGTGGTGGAGGAGGGAGCGGTGGTGGTGGTGGTGGAGGAGGAAGGAGTGGTGGTGGAGGAGGAAGGAGGGAGTGGTGGTGGAGGAGGAGGAGGGAGTGGTGGTGGTGGAGGAGGAGGAGGAAGGAGGGAGCGGTGGTGGTGGAGGAGGGAGCGGTGGTGGTGGTGGAGGAAGGAGCGGTGGTGGTGGTGGAGGAGGTGGTGGTGGTTGGGGGGCAGCGGTGGTGGTGGTGGGGGGGAAGCGGTGGTGGAGGAGGAGGGAGCAGTGGTGGAGGAGGAAGGAGGGAGCGGTGGTGGAGGAGGGAGCGGTGGTGGTGGGGGAGGAGGAAGGAGGGGAGTGGTGGTGGTGGTGGAGGAGGTGGTGGTGAAGGAGGAGGGAGCGGTGGTGGAGGAGGAAGGAGGGAGCGGTGGTGGAGGATGAGGGAGCAGTGGTGGAGGAGGAGGGAGCGGTGGTGGTGGGGGAGGAGGAAGGAGGGGAGTGGTGGTGGTGGTGGAGGAGGTGGTGGTGAAGGAGGAGGGAGCGGTGGTGGTGGTGGAGGAGGTGGTGGTGGTGGTGGAGGAGGTGGTGGTGAAGGAGGAGGGAGCGGTGGTGGTGGGGGAGGAGGAAGGAGGGGAGTGGTGGTGGTGGTGGAGGAGGTGGTGGTGAAGGAGGAGGGAGCGGTGGTGGTGGTGGAGGAGGTGGTGGTGGTGGAGGAGGTGGTGGTGAAGGAGGAGGGAGCGGTGGTGGTGGTGGAGGAGGTGGTGGTGAAGGAGGAGGGGGCGGTGGTGGTGGTGGAGGAGGTGGTGGTGGTGGAGGTGGTGGTGAAGGAGGAGGGAGCGGTGGTGGTGGTGGAGGAGGTGGTGGTGAAGGAGGAGGGGGCGGTGGTGGTGGTGGTGGAGGAGGAGGTGGTGGTGGTGGAGGAGGTGGTGGTGGAGGAGGTGGTGGTGGTGGAGGAGGTGGTGGTGGTGGAGGAGGTGGTGGTGGAGGAGGTGGTGGGGGGGGGGGGCAGCGGTTCGCTTGCGCCGCGCTACCAAACCGGCGACCCGAGTTCGACTCCCGTTCACGGCTAACACCGGGGACGATTATCTGAATCGGTCCTGGGACTCCCCCCCCCCCCACCCAGGTCGACTCAGCCTCAAATATGTACCTGGTACTAGAATGTAATACCGCCACTGGGAAGACAAAGGCGGCCAGGCGTGGAGCTGGCCGTCCACCCCGTCTTGTGCCGTGCCGGCCTTCGTAGGTGCTGCTTGCTAACAGCACTTGCCCCAATAGTCTTAAGACGAGAGGGTTGGTGATCTTTGGAGGGAGGCTTCACAATGGCCGGGCCAAAACCGCTGAGCTAAACCCGGGGTTGAATCCATTCCTTATCTTCACCATTCTGGGTAGCAGAGGGTATTGTAGCAAAATGGCAGGGGGAAAACTTCATCCAGCAGTGAATCAACAACAGGGCTCTTACGTGTACTGTATGCATGTACACTATATCAGCATTGTCCTGCATGTGCAACATTTGCGAAATAGGTTTTTTCTTCCAGTTTTTCAAATCCCCACTAATGGCCTCTACGTTTGAGATCAAACAGTGATTGCTGACTCAAAGATGCAATGAGCAGCCATTGATGAGCGACCCGCCGCAGAAGTGCCAGCCAGTGGAATCCTGAGCAAAGATCAACGAGAATCATGAACGGAACCTGTTTTCAATGACTCTACAACATTTATCTGATTATAGCTACAATCTCCATCATGAGTGAATTTTGGAACACATTTACCAAAATAGACATTATGACAGCCGGTTAATAGTAACAATGCCACATTTATTCATTCATCTGACCCTATCCAGAGGGGTTACATTGGTCTCTCACCAGAGTATGTGAGCAGTGTTCAACAGGATGCAGGGTTCCACCACGTCAATGCTACCAAACTCGAGTGCATGATGGTTATTGAAAGTTAATGTCGTACCTGGAGAGACACTTGCTACAGCCAGGGACAGCCTCCTCACCGTTGATGATGCGAGGTTAAAAAGAGATCGACGGTTGGATGTACTGTACGCCACACCCTACCCAACAATAAATTATTGAATCAGTGAATGGTCTTTGACGTGAACATATGCAATTTCCACCAAGATCTCAGGACTGAGGACAGAGATAAGCACTGCTGCATTCTTGTGTAGTGTAACGACTCTGGAGACATAAACTGTAGAAGCTTCTCCTTTATTTCCTCACACTCACATGACTACAACTCGGTAACATGGACTAAACGCTGACAGTCTAGCTTGACGGCGCCGACTCGACTAACTAGCTGGCTGACTGTTTAGCGACAATGACAATGAAGCAATGCCAAAGACGACAACGATGACGAGGATGACAGCGACGACGTCCCGGACTCGGACCCCCCATGACGGCCGAGAACCCTGTTCCTCGCTCCCTTATATCCCCCCAGCGTGGCCGTGGCTCCGCCCTGACCACGCCCCCTTTCTCAAACTCTCCAGCCGGTCCTGGGAACTCCCAGATGGATCCCCTCTCTGACCATTGGCCTAGATATTCACCCTTGTGGTCGCTTCGTGTATCTGTCTCTCTTTCTGCCCATACTGTTCTTACACCCACAATTACCACTTCTGGCCAGTAGTCAGCGCACTGTCTCTACACTTGTTTAAAATACTGTCAATGTTTCTGATACTATACTCATTTATTCTAGATTTGAAGCTTTCGTGACTGCAAGGATTCATACTCTTAGGTTTTTTCGGTAAATTCACATAGGTAAATAATAAAATTAATAGAAACAAAATAAAATAATAAATCACGACGTTTCGGAGGCAACACAAGTCTCTGTCATCAGGTGGGACCGTCACAGCTAGATTTACTGTATCAAGTGAGGCAAAAAATTCCAAGATACAAGTTCTTAAATACAAGTTAAGGGGGGCAGGAGGGGGGGAGGAGCTTATCTGAGTGTGGTAGCCAATGAATGGAACGTATTGGGGGGGGGGGGGGGGCTAAAAGAGAACAACAAGTGCACATGTTAAAGGTGCACCTGCTAAAAGAGAGCGAGCGACACTGCGCATGTTGTTTAACCCAGTGTTGGTGACAACCCAAATACAAAAAGGAGAGTACTGTTAAACGCTGGGGATGTTAACACTCGGTGAAGTAGAATAGTACCTGTCAAATAAAATGGTCCAAAATGTGTAGTTAAATCTTTTTTGCATGGTTAATAACATCTTTCCAATGATTACTCAGTTTGTACCCATCATCACGGTTGAAATTATGTCTGTGTTTTGTATATCTGGATGGCTTCGTGTACAAACCTTTGATGGTAGCCAGAGGGTTTGCAGAGCACCTTGGTCTCGGAAAAAACAATATCATGAGAGTAATGATCGGCAACGGCGGAAGACTCAATTTGAGTCTTCCGCCGTTGCCGATCATTGCTACAATGCTGTGGGCATGTGCATTATGCGAGCCCTTTGAACTTGTCCTTACTGTCTATTGTGTTTATTAAAATATCCCTACCAACGGTAATCCCTATTGAAGTATGCTGCCCTTTGTAGGCATGCAGTAAATAATGTATTATTTGATTATTCGCTTCCACGCATCACTACAACGGTAGCTATCTGAATGGTTAAAGTTATAATCTTGATTTGAAGCTTTCGTGACTGCAGGAATCCATACTATTTGGTTCTATCGGTAAAGTTACGTAGATAGAAATAAAACAAATCACGACGTTTCGATCGCAACACAAGCAATCCTCATCAGGTGGGACAACCATAGCAAGAAAATGCTG